AAAAAAACCATCGGTGCAGAAAGATACAGCATTTTGAGTCTATTATTAGACCAGCCAGCTTCCTCTTTGGGAGGTGGACTTGCACTAGGTCTCCCACACCACCACACTATGTCGTTTAAGCGGCCGGGGCCAGCAGCCTTGGAATAAGAAAATGGCAGCGAGTCAATAACTACCTAGTGATGCAGGGGACAGCCAAGTCAAGTTAGCGAGGTCGTGTTGGCACGCCTCGACAACAATGACGAGCTGTAATGATCATTCCGGCGGAGATGGCCGCCCCGGTCGAACGCTCAGTCGACTGACAACTTTTCTAGAAATGGCTTGCCCGGACTCGGACAGATGTAATTGGTCTTGACTGCTCGGACTCTCATTTGCGAAGGATGCGGTTGGGGGCGGGACGAGAAGACGGCGGTTTGCAAAGGTACTGCACTTGCGGAATGCTGTACCAATAAGCCGGCTTCGCACAGCAATTGCTATTATAGGTCCAAGCTGCGAGGACAAAGGGCCCTTGGCATTATAAAGCCAGTTGCATGGCGAGATCCTGCCACGGTGGCGTATTACTTGGTCCTAGTTGCACTTGGGACATGGAGCCTCACAAAAGTGCCCAAGTTGAGGCTCGGCCGAGGTCTGCTCTACAGTGGGAATCGATGAATTGGTCTAGAGCTACTGGTCAGACTATCTGTCGGTGTGCATAAGGTGAATCGTAATGTTATAATATCAAGGCAGTTGCGGACTACCTAGGTAGCATTACAATCTCTTCAATCGTGGCCACCAAAACAGCATGTGCAAATATTGCAAGCACCACCTAACAGAAATGGTAAGGGCCTGGCCTAGCCGACCCGGGATGACAAGTCGGGCAAGTGGAAGTGCGATTGCAATTCAGCATTGCGCTGGCAACTCCGGTGTGATGTTGAAGACTGCTGATCAAGGTTAAATAGCGCTCTATGGTACCTTGACACCTCAATGATGTCGATTTGGGCCGTGCAGACCGTGGCGTTGCAGCGAAGTCGCATTCACGAGTGCGACATGGCTGCGCCGGCGCTGTAAGTGGTGATTTGGAGGGCAGGCTACATAGGGGTTGGTAGTTTGCGGAGTGGCTTGTCGGGAGTCAAAGTTCCTTCGCTGCAGACGTCTTGGCATTTCTGAATGCTCTCAATTGGTAATAATAACCGAGATCTTTGTATGGCGTATCTTTGGCGCCGTGATGCGGAATGTCTTGTTGTCTCCGTCTGTCGTGGTTTATCTATAGTAAATCCTTCCCCAACTTGCCAGCTGCCAGCTGCCAGCTGCCAGCTGCGAGCCGCTCCACGCGCCACATTCACCCACCAATTTACTTGTTTCTCCAAAGCTCTTTAATCCATCACTATTGTTTGCAATTCATTCAATACAAGCCATCCACCGTCAAACACCAAGATTTCCTAGCGGCAAGGCGAAACGAAACCAGACGCAACAAGACGAAAGTGTTTTGCCGAGTACGAGATTGCTCCCACCCAATATCATGTCGCCAGCAAACACCACCAGCCCAGCCAGCCATCATCCACTAATTTATACCCTGAGCTACGCCATGCGCTGGCTACCACAACATCACTGGTTGACTGGTTGATTGGTCAACTGCTTGAACGTATAGCTCAAACTCCCGAATCATTATTCAATAAGTTACAACTCACTGCCTGGCGCCACACAAGACTGGCTGCTTTGCCTGGGCTGCCAGGATGAACGCTGGACATTGCTGTGCCTTTGGCTGACAAGTCCAGAACCGTATCCCAAAAGGTATGCTGGTTCCTACGGTGCGATCAGCTGGCCTCTTCGACATCATTTGCTCCACGAAACTGCCCATGTCAAAACTGTCGCCGACTCAATCGCCGAACACCAGCCTTTGTTCAAGTGCCTAGCTACCGAGTGGATGGAGGAGAAAGACACCCGCCGATTTAGTTTCGAATATACATTGCTCCTGCATTCATTTGTTCCTTCTTTTTCCTCTATTTCCCCCCAAGACTTTGTTTTCTTGTATTCACAATCGGCCTTTTTTTTCGGCACCGCCTTCCCGCCTCCGACCCAGCATTGCGCACCGCTCACCCGCGCGCCCTCCCCACAACAACCAACACCACCACTAGTGCCCCTGGCGTCATTGATCGGCCTATTTCCCTCCCACCACTCCTCATCGCACTCGCCTGTCGCCACCTACGCACCTCACACGGGGCTACTGTCCCTTGTCTAGTCAGATAACCAGAGTCTGGGGGTGGCGTTGCAGCTCGACTAACAAGCTTCCGCCTACCTGGTTCACCTTCCTAGTCGGGCTTCCGCCTTCGCCATTCAGCCCGGCCATATCAACCTTTGCCAAGCAACTCTCCAGCCGGGTGCCAACCATTCTTGCTACGTGTTGCCTCGGTGCTACTCATTTAGACCACCGCGGCAAAACGAGGAGCGACACTTGATCGCAGCTGACAAGTCCGAGGTCTGGCCAGCTTATTCAACCGCAACCCTACGAGTCCGCATCGCCGACCCCTCTGCGTCAGCAGCGATTCTCTATCATGGCGTCACTGATACCGTTCATCTCGGAGATTCTCCCCATGATCATGCCCGCCTCCACTCACGTTACTGCGGCCAAAGATCTTCGGCCGGCCCATCCAACTGTCGAAGGGCCTGTGATAAGGCGTGCTGCAGTCGTCGACCGCTGCGACAAGATGTGCGCCTCTGGTAAGCTCGACACCACCTACTCACACGCACAACTCATCACACCACCGCTGCCCACTCAATCTGCTGCTTGCCCCGGCCTTTTCTTACGCCCGAATGCTACCCCATCTTCGCTACCCCCTGCCCGACCACGAGGTGTAACTATTTTAAGCAGTTCTCACAACCCGGCCCCGGTCTCGCACCCCAGTGCGCCACAACAGTGAGCAGGGTAAGTGTCGCCACGCCTCAGCACGACATTCTCCCAAAGTAGAGTAATGCTACGCCATCAGGCTGGGCTGAGCTGACCCGTCGTTTTTTAGATGCCATCATATATGCCGTCTCCGGTACCGGCGTCTTGCTGGTGAATGAGAGTTTTGAAGAAGAGATACGACGTCATCCTCTAGGTGCCGGAGACTTTGCTTTCGTCCCAGCGTGGACGGAACATCAGATTCACAATGACACAGACGATGACCTCGTCATGGTTGTGATTCAGAGTGGTTCACGCCCTGTCGGCGCCATCTTGTCAGATTGGGGAGGTGACGAAGTAACTGCGGACATAACTAGCGACTAATGCCTGCCAACCTTCATCTTGGGCTGTGGGCTTGCATCATATCACATTTCAATGACTGGCTTTATCTACGGAGTACGAAGTACACGACGCTGAGTTGTCCTTGTATGAGCTGGCTGTTGATTGTGACAGGTCAATCGTCATGTGCTAGGACGCACTTGATAATCTTGTTGTAGTCTGATGGCGTGTCAAAAACCTGCGCGTGATCCAGCTTGGGGAACCACAGCAACCCAACCTCAAGCTCCGTAGTGCCATCTGCCACCGCATCCTTGGTCTCTTGCAGGTATTGGGCCACTGCGGGCGCATTGACGATGATGTCTTTGGCCGCCAGGCTAACGGCGACTTTCCGGCGGCCTCCACCCGGTAGGCGCAACAAGTCCTCCTTCCAGACAATGTTGTCCCGCCAGAAGAAGTGTCTCCCGAGCACCGTGGCGACGCCAACGTCTGTGCTGGCAAAGTACCACAGCTGCCACTCGGCCGCGGTCCGCGGCGGCCGCCGCGTAAAGTTGTAGGCCACGTGCGGCAGCTGCAGCAGCACGGTGACGGGGTCGACGAGCGTGGCGGCTCTGGCGCGCCGGCGGAGCCCCGCGTCGTCAGCCGTCAGGACGTGCGTCGTTGGTACGGAGCCGTACGAGTGCGACACGATACCAAAGTCGTCCCAACCGTGCGCGTCGATGATGGCGGTAAAGGCAGCGAGAAAGGCGCGTTTGTCGAGCGGCGGGGCCGTGAGGCGGAAGGACACGGGCAGCATCTCGACGGCAATGATGCCGAGACTATTCGCGTCCTTCTTGGAGCAGGCCTTGGCGGCGCGAACAAGGTCAAAGAGGAAGCGCAGATAGGTGAGCAGGCCGACGCCGATGCCATGGAAAAACACCAACGGCAGCTGTTCCGCCGTCTTGGCGCCAGCGCTTTTGGGCGGTCTATCCGCCGATGACGGCGACGGCCCGTAGTACCAGTATCCTAGAGCCGGCGCGGGTGACTTGCGCCGACTCAGGAGCTCTTGCGGCCGCGGCGGAAACGTCTTGAGCACCTCGGCGGCGCTGCCGCGCCCGTAGAAGCGGAACCCGTGCCCCCATAGCAGCGCGCACGTCACCGCGTCAATGAGCGCCATGACGCCGTACCACGCAAGCCCGCGGTACGTCGTCTTGACCGGGTCCAGCGTCAGCCGCAGGCTCATAGCCTTGCCGCGGCCCGGCGCGAAGCGGTGTCCGAGGCGGTCCCCGAGCTCAGCCACGTAGCCGTCGAGCTCGACCACCTTCGCCTCTGCCAGCTCCTCCTTCTCCTCCCCCTCCTCCTCGGCCTCAAAAAACGCCCAGAGCAGAAACTCGCGCACGTTGTCGCGGTGAATGTCGGCAAGCGGCGCATTGAGGAACCACCCGCGGAGGTACAGCGCCGGGTCGCGGGCGTGCGCGAGGCAGCGACGAAAGAGCGCCTGCCGCTGCGGCGCGGTGAGACGGGCCGAGGGTGGAGCGGCGGGCCGGGTGGCGCGGAGAAGGTGTGGCCGGTACAGGAAGACGTAGAAGACGGCTTCGACAAGGAGGAGAAGGAGGAGGATGGGGACGGCGACGGTATGCTGGGAGAGGGGGTCGTAGACGGAGTGGGTGAGCAGGGCAAAGAGGGCGACGAGGTAGAGGAGAGGCGTGAAGCGGAAGATGAGAATGAAGAATTGGATGAGGGCCCATTCGGGCGGCGAGTTGCCAATCATGGCATGTGATGTGTGGTGTCAGGCAGTTGCGTTGGTTTGCAGGAGGTGTGGCTGCCGGCGCAGAACATTGATCTGCGGTTTCAATGTCGACGATTCATTTGCATGGTGTTGGAATGCCGAGAAGATGCGACCATGGAGAAATTGACGGTTGAAAGATGTCGCTGGCAATGGTGTGGTGAAGTTGAAACACAGTGAGACAAGTTGTTGCCAGGAGTTAGTTGTTGAGTGATCAACAATGGCCCCCACTAGCCAACAGCTTGGCATAACTAGCTCAACGTGGTGTTGTTTTTTTTTTTTTTTTTTTTTCTCTTTTCTTCAAATTTCCGCGACAGCAACTTATCGGGACGGACGCCTTGTAAAGGGACATTTGTCTCCAACGAGCGTAAATATCAAAAATGAGACAGCAACTTTGAGCGAAACGCGGTCCTCATCGGCTTTCTCGTCATCTTTTTCATTTTCAGCTCCCATCTCGACAATGCCATACTTGGGTAGCCTAACCTCGGTCCTACCCTGGATCAGTGGGAGCTGCTGTACCCGGAATCCGGTACCGTCGCGCCAACTGGCAAAAGACTAGGCATTAATCTCAGTAGCATTAACCAGGATTCCAACCAAGGCTTATTTATATAGGTTGCTGTACCGTTACAGCTGCCAGGTGTACGTTGCGCTATAGGTACCTATTCAAATATTCGTGATACTGCTAAAGTGCAAGGCACTTGTTGCGCTCGCTATACTGTGCCAGCGACACAAGTAAAGGTCCACAGCTGGGTAAAAGTCCAGCTACCTTGGCCATTGTAATGATGACGGATCATGTAGACGGTGGACCCACTTTACCGCTAAGGGTTCAACGATAGCACGATCGATCCCTTGGGCGTCTATGAGTTGCGCTGTCTCTCTTCTCAACTTGGCCCTTATTAGTTATGTTTCGGTATTGAACATGATTATTGAACATAATTTTTTGTGCTTCTATTAATAGTATTAAAGATGAAACTACAGCGAAGCTTGCTTTCATCTTGACACACTGTTTCATTCACATGCCATTGTTGGGTAGACGATTGTTGGCAAAACAATACCGCCTATTGTCCGTTTTTACCCGCTTCCGGGGAACCTGCCAAAAGCTTGCCTGCCCGCCACCATTTGTATGACGTTTATAAAAGACGTCTGAAAGACGTCATTTCAACATCGCTAACTACCTACTTTTAACTAGCTTTGCTCGCAACTTAATCTTCACACCTTGTTCAATTGCCACCCTGCATTTTCCTCATCTTCCCAGCGCAGACTGCCTCCCCCCCGTCTCTGCGCCTGCCCATATTCAAATCCGGATTGAAGAAGCCTCCGCCTTAAACCATGGCGGACAAGTACATCCTGCGCATCACCGCTGGTAGCGACTACGACGCCTCGCAGCATGTCCCCGTCCCCGTGAACGAGCCCGCGACAGTGCATATTCGCGGCGCCCACGCCTCTGTCGAGCTCAACGTGCGCATCCGCGACTACGCCGGCCTGCCCCTGAACTCGCCTTCAACGTCGGCCTATTTCGACACGGAGCCGCACGCAACCAACAAGGACCAGTACAGCATCGCCTTTCGCTTCACCCCGCTCGCGCCCACCACCACCACCACCACCACCACATCTTCACCAGAGAAGAAGAAGAAGGACAACAACAACAAGGGCATCAGTGGTAGCGATCTCTACTTTGGCAACGACTTTGACCGGCCGATCCGCGACAGGCTGCCGCCCGGTTTCAACACGGCGCTGCGCATCGTCAAGTGGTGGATCGACCCGGGCCTCGACGGCGATGCGTACGCCGACAAGCCGCATCTGTACGGGCCGGCGCTCAGCTCTTTCAATGTGTTGGAGCTCGGCGCGGGCCAGCACGACGAGGCTAGGGGCGGACTGTGGTTTGAGGAGCGCGGCGAGGAGGCGACGACGCGCAAGGAGTTGGGCTTGCCGGACAAGGGCAAGGCGCGCATGAAGTGGGCGCTGACAGACGCCAACAAGGGCAAATTTGTGTTTGAGTATGGAAAGACGTACGGGTTCGATTTTTTTAATCCGTATTTGGACTTTGCCAACCTGGCGCTGCGGCTGCCGGGATTTCAGCTGAGCATTGCCAACTACTGGGACGGTCAAGCATTACGGTGAGTGCGATTGTTTGGTCTTCTTTCTCGTTGCAACTTTTTTTTTCTCCTTGGCCGCATGTGCCTTGATCTTTTTCAACTTCCCGTAAAAAGAGAGTATGACTTCTCAAATCCTTTTACGGTGCTTTGTTCGATTTTTTTTTCACCCCCCCGCCCTTGCAGAGTTTAACCTTTTTTCTTTTTCCGTTTGCAGGTTATCCGGCAGGCGCTCACACCACCTTAGATACGTGCTGCGGAACAAAACGACCGGCGACGTCTACCTCGTAATCGTCTTTAGCCTATTTCTACGAGAGGATATCAACGAGGACGGCACGCTCAAGGAAGGCGCGCAGCAACACACCGCGGGCGGTGACGCGACGGACAAGACGCGGGACGACAACGAGCATGATCACGATCAGGAGGTGGCCTTGAAGCAGGCGCGCGAGACATTGGGCGTGCCGCACCACGAGACTAGTGCAGATGATGTCGACTGATAGATGTACATGCGGAATAGATATAGAAACAAATAGAACCAATAGAATACAATAGAATACATCACCTGTGCAAAATACCTATGCAAAATTAACTAAACCCGCAATCCTCGCCACTGGTCATGATGCAGGAACCGCCCCAGGGTAGTACATACGTATTGCTGACGGGCCCTCATAATTCGGTTTCATTAGACAAGGACAGAACATGGACATGGCCCAAGTCTTGTGAACAATGTATTTTGCGAACGCTATACAATTTTGCGAGCACCTTGATCATGACCGTTTCTATACTGCTGGTGTTACCCCCCCCCCCCCCCCCCCCCCCCCCCCCCCTCCCCCCCCTTTTTTTTGTCCCCCCCCCCCCCCCCCCCCCCTTTTTTTTTCACCTTTTCTCAAAGTAAATTGAGCTATTGTACTCCCGAAATATACTACCGTCCAGCTGCGGCAATTTTGACGCCCATCTGCCTCGCATGCTGAGCCATGAATGAGGGCGTCAGCAATAGTCAGAGCGGCCATGGCCTCTGCAATAGAGAACCGCGGCGAGGAGCAAACATTGGGGGTTGTGATGGGCCCTTGGGCGGCCAGGATGCCCCCTCACCCGAAGCCTCGTAGCGAGCAAATTTCAAAAAGGCCCGTGAATTCATATTCTCAAAGACAACAGGACCAGTTTACTCTGCTTACGACGACTAATTTTCCCAACATTGAACACGCTCTTAATCCAGCCAGTCTGAAAGGAACTTGCTGGACCGCCCGCGGTGTACCTGACTACCTATATTAGCAACGACGGCTGCATCAGAATAGCTTATAGGGAAGATATGGGTTCTGTGACGAATAAACAAAATGCATGACCAGTAGACTATGAAAATCAAGGTGGATATTCATAATTATGTAAGTGGTTGTGTTTTTATGCAACTTCTAGAGTAATGGATATCATGTGCTGCATGACCGTGGTAGAAATGGTAACTATTACCTACCTAGGTACCTACACAGCCATTGGCGGCTCTCTTCAGCGCTCCTTGTCCTCGCTTGCAACAGCCAGCGCGCGACCGTTGCAAGCTCAGACACACCACATGGCTAAATCCAAGACTGTCTTACTGACATTATGATGAGAACCAATACAAAAAATAACGTTGAATTTTTATCGACTCGCATAGAAGAACTCTTGTTTTCGCCCACTGCAGCAACAACTGGATCTGGCAACGCTTCCCACCGTGAGTAGCTATTCTCCTCGGAACTGGTCGGTACCTAATTCACCATTACCCTTTGGAGAGTTCTGTGTACTGCAAATGATTTTTTTCCGTGTTTTTTTCTTCTTCTTATAGCTTTGGGCTAGCACAGCAACAGCCCGTTGATCGGATGTTCAGATGTAGTTCGACAAATTGTAAAGGATCTGCTCCGGGTGGCGGGCGCATGGGCGGGCCGGAGCTGGACCGGAGCAGCTCACGCACCCTACCTAATCCTTTGTCCAGCAATGAGCAGCGCGGTCCGGAGACGACACTATACCTAGGTAGGTACTGAGTAGTGGTGTACTGTATTTCTAGATAACGTCAATGGACTGAAAAGACAGTATTATTGGCACACAAAAGCCGAGTTTAAATGGCAGTCAAGTTGCTTCCGCAGGCGGCCCGGCCCTATCATTTGCAACTTTGATTCTGGCTCAAACAACCGCCGATTTGGTGGATATTCTATTAATAAATAGTACAACATAATTCTTGGTGAGGTGTGGGCTTGACGGCACCTCCCCATTGCCTATCCCCCACGCCAGCCATGGCCCAGAACGGGGGCTCATTTTGTCATGTGCTCAAGCTTTGTTTTTTTTTTTTCTCACTTTCCCCCAAGCCACGATCGGCAGGCCATCCATGGAATCATGGGCCGCCGCCTGAGCCGCCAGGAAATAGGAAACCAATCGTCATCAGGCAGTGCGTCAATGCCGTCCAGTGCTGATAAAGGGCTGAGTGAGACAAGCAGCGGCAGATATGCAATGCTGATTACGAATAAATGTACAAAGCATGGTGTTGAGACAAGGGCTTCGGGTTCAAATGGAGCGGGAGAGACATTCCAAGTCCTTCGTTGAGCCGGGGGTCGAAAAGAAGGAGGATGAAAGACGGGATAAATACACGGTACTTTGGAAATGGGCGGGCGGGCAGGCACAAGAGGGAGTGAATTGTGTGCCGTGGGCATTTGCTGGGCCCACCCACAAGCTGGTAAGGGGGGGGCCAAGCCTGACGAGTTAATATTCGTAAGCCGGCTGCAGCTCCGGAGACACTTGGTCGTTATTCCCGACAAGCTTTCGTCAACCTCGGGGGTTAGGTGGGTCCTGTTGGCCATGTCCGGCCTCTGCTTGGCCCCCCGGCAACCCTCCATGCCCTCCTAGTGCCTTGATTGTGCCCTATCAAGAGCTACAACGTGCCCCGAGCCAAATGCTAAGAAGAACGGCTTTAATCATCTGCGGCGGGAATAAACATAGTCATGGACTTGGACTTCCTCCGGCCCGGCCGCGCCAAAAAGGGCTTTAACCCCACCCCTCGCCCGCCCACTCCAGGACCCCCATTGCTATTTTTCACTTGTTTATGCCCTAGTCTGCGTGCCTCGCGTATTCCTTTCACTTCATGTCCTTGACCATTGGCAAGAATATCGAGCCCATCCTTGTGTGTTGTCGGTTTGAGCGGGCTACTCGGCTGTGACACTCCTGCTGCCAAGTCCAGCTCGATAGCTCAGGATGGAGCAAGGACACGCTACGCCACTGGCTGGTGAAATGGAACAGCACAGTATTGACGCCCGTGCCAATCAAAACACCGAACCCCCGGAGAAACAAATACGGCGAGACCCGTCACTCTCTGGGACCAACTCGTCGTCCCCCATCCTCCAATTGTACCTCGACTTTGACACGCCGCTGCCTACACCGCCCCAGCCAGACGACACTCCTGGAGCCAGCGCGCCGCCGCCATGTCCAGACTTGCGCGCCTACACATCGCCGCTGGAATGGAGCCCGGCGCGGAAGAGCGTCTTGCTCATGCTGTCCTGCCTTGCCACCTTTCTCACGGCCTACACGGCCGGCGCCTATTCGCCCCCCGCCGGCCTCATGGCCGAGGATTACGACACCTCTCGCACCGCCATCATGGCTGGCATCACCACCTTTTGCCTGGGCTTCGGCTTCGCGCCAATGGCACTGGCGCCGCTGTCCGAGGCATGGGGCCGCTACCCCATCTTCGTTGCCGCCGGAAGCGTCTATCTCGTCTTCCAGGCTCTGTGCTCCGTGATGCCGCACGTGGCCGGCATGCTGGTCTGCCGCTTCTTTGTCGGCGCCGGGGCGTCGGTGTTTAGCGCCGTCGTGGGTGGCGTCATTGCGGACCTCTGGGGCAAGGAGGACAGAAACACTCCCATGGCGCTCTTTAGTGGCTCCGTGCTCCTCGGCACGGGAGCTGGTCCCCTCGTGTCTGCCGCTCTCATCAACATCATCAAAGATCGGACAAGAGCGTGGCAATGGACGTTTTGGCACCAGGTCATCATGGACGCGGTCCTCCTGGGCTTTCTCGTCATCTTTTTCAAAGAGAGTCGGGCGTCTGTCTTGCTCACTCGAAAGGCCAAGATTCTGAATGACTGGTATGGCAAGCTTGAGCAGTCTGGCATACACGGTGTGTGGATATCACGGGGCAACGTCAATGTAGCATCTTCATGCGAAGTATCGCTGTCTCAATGCCCTGGGTCCGAGTCTGACGAAATAGACTGCCAAGAAAACACTCAAACACACTCTCCCGAGCTTTGTCGCATTCGCTGGGTCGTCAAGGCAGATGAGCTGCGCCCTTCCCTCAAAAATTTAATCATCACCTCAATTCGGAGACCATTTGCTCTCCTTTTCACTGAACCTGTTGTTTTTTGCTTTTCACTCTGGGCGGCATTTTCTTGGGGTGTCTTGTATCTTTCCTTTTCCGTCGTGCCGTTCCTGTACAACGGCAATCTGGACATGTCCAGCCGTGTGTACATATCCATGATGGCTGCGACCGCCGTGGCCACGGTGACAGGCGTCTTCCAAGAACAGATTCTCAAGTATCCGTCATGGAAGAGCCTCGAGGCTGGCGGCCGTCCCACAAACTCCAGATTCTGGCAGCTCATGCGACGCAAGTTTCCTGCCGAGGCCCCGGAATCGAGACTGTATTTCGCATGCATCACGTCCATGTTTCTTCCTGCTGGCTTATTCGTCGGGTTTCTCTGTCCAGACAACTGGAAGGACTATGCACAAGCCATCGGCCTCGGCTTTGCATTGTGGGGTATTTACTCCGTCTACCTCGCCACCTTCAACTACCTCGCAGACACCTATCATGCTTACGCATCTTCTGCCCTGGCGTCCCAAAGTCTTTGTCGCAATCTGCTTGGCGGAGCTTTCCCACTCATTGCCGCGCCTCTTTTCCGTAATTTGGGCACACGAGCGGCTGGTGGCTTGCTTGGCGGCATCGGCACAGGACTGACTGTGATTCCGTGGGTACTCGTCTTTTTCGGACAGCGAATCCGTTCTCGTAGTAAAATCGCCATCGTAAGTATAGCAACCTCGCCATCCTATAAAGGCACGCTAACAAATTTTTAGTCTTTACAGAAATCGTAACGCGATTGGCGAACCACATGAAAGGTCATGACAGCTTGGCATATGCCATCCCACTTTTGATGTATATCTCGAATTTCACTGCATAGCATCGTGTTCATCGTATTCGAGTCTGAAAGAAATCAGCTCAATAAGGCTTTAATCTTTGTTTTCGAGAAAGTAACGTGATTCTCTATGCTTTTAGTATTCAATTCCATTTGGCTTCCGTACATGTGATTTTTGTATATACAACCACCTTCCAGATATATCGCCTTACTTGCCCTTGGACTTCTCAGCTTGAGCCTTTTCGTAGATCCAGTCGTTAAGACCGGCTTTGTTGCGGGCAATTTCGACGGCGTAGAATTGCATACGAGGGACTGCAAGTCACAATTAGCGATGCGTTCAATCGGACTTCTCACGCCTTTTTCTTCGAAAGATATTCGTATGTCGTCCCCTCCTTACCAAAAAGAGTCGTTTCCTGCTCGTACTCGACCTTAGGGCTGTTGCGCAGCATGGTACCAAAGTTGTAATCATCGACCTTTTTCTCGTACGTCATAAGGAACTTCCGCCAGCGCTCTTTACCCGTCTTGCTCTTCATCTCATCCTCGTTGATGACAGCTGCGGGGTCGAATTCGGGGAAGTCGGCCTTGAGGTGCTCGTAAATGTCGTCGTCCATCTTGGTCAGGCGCAGCGTTGACCCGCGCACGCGCTCCAGGATGGCCCAGTATGTTTGCAGGTGCTGTACGGCCTTGACGGCGAACTGTTTCTCCATCTATAGCCGGAGATTAGATTTGAACTTTCCAAGCAAGCAGCAATCGCCGTTGCGCGCTGTTGTGACATCATGCCCCTCTTTAGATTTTTGTATCGAGCAACATACATCTTCAATGTTGCCAGCATCTTCGGCATTGAAGCCCGCGGGGATGCGACCTCCGCCCACGGACATGCTTTCCATAGGATCCATTATTGTCGGGTATCTTGTAATGCTGCAAGTGAGAAGCTTTGTTGATCTGGAAGCAAAAACCTGAAGAGTCGCAAAATCTTGACGTGGGGCTCGAACCAAGTCGCAAGTGGGATGGAGGGGCAGATGCCATCTCCACAGTGTGAAACTGTACTATACTGTACGCTAGACTCTGGCCTCAGTGACTCTTCTACTAAGTTACGCCTATCGTCCACAATGTACTTGCTCCAGGACGCATATGTGTTACGTGGTGCGAAAGATAGATCCCATTCTACATAACATGTGGATATGTCACGGTATGGGACGCGCGGGAGAAACCAGCTGTCTACACCGATAAGGCCGCCCTGATCACGGTGTAGCTCTGTACATATCGTAGGGCTTGTCAATTCATCGATAACTGCGGGAGCTACCTCTAATAGGAGGACCACGTCTCCTACAGTATCACGACTGACCGTGACATCAATTGAGCCGTCCTCGGCTGTGCTGACTGTTACTCTTAGGCGTCCATTCCTATCTGTGGCGCTTGTGTATGACTCCGAATAACGATGCGGAGGATTATCGGCGGTGGTCGTGAAGCCGCATACGGACTGAAATTCTTTTCGCTGGGGGGACTCCAGTGTCACAGTAACAAGTAATTTATTTAAACCCGCGTCGTCACCATGTGTTTGGATTAGTGCAGAACCGTCATAGGTCAATTTTGCAAGAGATGCTCAGGTTGAGGAGGAGGATCGGGGGGTAACACAACTAAAGTGATTTGAGGCCAGGCTCACTCCTGGTGAGGCTTCTTCTAAGCCTTTTAGTCAGCCCGACAGGCCAACAGGCCAATACAGGGGTGCCCCCCGCTGAGGTAGGCAGAGGCTGAGATGCAGAAGCTGTGGAAACTACACGATCAAACGCAATCGCCCGCTCCTTGCTATGCGGGCGCGTCTCAGCCACTAAAGATTTCCATCGCAAATAGACTGGCTGCCCGGAGTGTATCGCTGGGGAAAATAAGACATGCAGAAGACGTTTTGAACCATGGCACGCAAATACATGCAGTTCGCGTGGCGTCCTCGGTCGCAAACGCGCCTAGTGGCCCCAGCGCCACGGGCGCCAGAACAATAGCAAGCAACCCCCATTGAGCAAACATCCTTTGAGCGTTCATGCGCACCAAAACGCAGTCACTTCCTCTCACGGGATGGAGGCGCACGGGCCGAAGCGATGGGCCATCCGAAGCACCCGTGGTAGAAATGAAATGAGGCTGGTCGTCGGGATGGCCCGTCCTCCTGGAGCCCAGCTTCAGAGCTTCTTTTCGGCGTATCAACACTACACGACGACTCAGCAGCGATGCTAGACAGTATCGTCGAAAATGAATGAGAGAAAGTCTGAGATAGAGTCGATCGAGCAGACACAATGCGTCACGGAGCTTTTAGAAAAAAAGCCAAAATGGAGGCACCTCTTCGCTTTCACCACGACACATCACCTCTATTATCTCAGCGGCGCAGGCCTCTCGTCTGCTGCTGCGGCTGCTCTCCGCACAGCTCTTGCTATCATTCTAGGAAGAGTTTTCGATATCATCGCCGCGTTTGGAAATGGCGAAATCACAGCATCAGAAGCTTTGGCTAGCGTTTCAGGGTATTCCATCATACTCGTCGCCATGGGTACCCTTCAATGGGTTACCAACTCGACATTCCTAGCTCTTTGGCTCATGTTCGGCGAGCTGCAGGCGAAGAAAATACGAAGAGGCCTCTTTGAGGGACTGATGGTAATGGAACGTGCCTGGATAGACTCCCTGCCGAATGGCACCACAGGCTTGGTCGCCTCTATCCAACGGTAAGCTGGCCCCAAGTTTCGGTGCAAGATGATGTGCTGACTATCATGGCAGAAAAACACACGAGCTTCAGATGGCGACTTCGCAAGTGTTTGGATACCTAACTACAGACTTGTTCACGGCACTCACTTCGTTGGGTGTTGCCTTGTATACGTCGTGGAAGCTGACGTTGGTACTCATCGCGACACTGCCACCGTCTCTCGTGGTGCTGGCACTCACAAGTCCGAAAATTCAACCAGCAATCACGAAACAAGCAACACACCTAGACTCAGCTTCGAAAATGCTCGCAGGGTCCCTCAGCGGCATCGACCTTGTCAAAATCTGTAATGGCTACAGATTTGAAGTTCGAAACTACTTGAAACACATCGGTCACGCTGCCAAGCAATATCGCGTTCAAGCCCGCTACAATTCTATACAAATTGGATACATCAGCTTTTGGGCTGTCGCCATGTTTGTCGTTGGATTTTGGTATGGACTGGTTCTCGTCCAACAGGGAGAGCGCCCAGGGAACATCGTGACAACATTCTACTCTGTCCTCACCGCACTGCAAGGCATTGAGTCATTGCTACCGAATTGGCTTGTGTTTGAAAGAGGGATGAGTGCCGGCCAAGTATTGCAGGCACTGAAAGTGGAAGTGACGGGTGCCACTGAAGACGACTCAAGTACAATCCAGCCTGGCTACTTTGTTGGCGCAATTGACTTGAAAGAGGTGCGGCTCGCACCGCTTGATCAAAATTGGCACCAAATTGCTAACAATTGCCCCAGGTCAGTTTCTCATATCCAACAACGCCATCGGTCAAGTGCCTCGATAAATGCACCCTTTCCATCCCTGCGGGAGAAATGACCTTTCTCGTCGGACGCAGCGGATCTGGAAAAAGCACCATTGCCAGTCTTGTCTCCAGAACCTACGACGTTTCCGGCGACTGTATATACATTGACGGGTTGCCCATCAAGAAGCTTCAGAAGAACTGGTTACAACAACAAGTTGTGGTTCTGGAGCAAACAGCCGTCATCTTTAACGATACCTTGTTTCGCAACATTGTATTCGGATATTCCGATCCGGCCTCGATTACCGGTAAACAAGTGGTAGAAGCGTGCCAAAAATTTGGTCTCGGTTCTACGATTGCGAATCTAACTGGTGGTGTGCATGCAATTATCGGTGGCAAAGGCTGCCCTCTGAGCGGCGGTCAGCGACAACGGATTGCTCTTACGCGGGCATATCTCAAAGACCCGCCGGTCCTGATTCTCGATGAGCCCACATCGGCGCTGGATCCGCACAGCAGAGATCAGATCCTGAATGAGATAAGAGAATGGAGACGAGGGAAGACGACTGTCATCATCTCTCATGACCTCGACACAATTCGCCATGACGACTTTGTGTACGTGCTGGATCAGGGAGCAGTGGCGAAGAGCGGTTTCAAACGAGAGATGGTGAGCGCCGGCGTGGACGTCTTCCTCGCGGAGGCACTGAACAATTCTGTCAACACCACCACCTCACACATCGAAGTCAACGTTAATAAGCCTCGAGTACAAAAATGGGCCGATTCTTCCAGTCAAGAGTCAGCATCGCCCGTCCAGGCGTGGCTTTCAAGTAAAACGAATTCCGCCACGTACAGCCCTCGCGTTTCTCTTCTTTCTCCTAGATTCTCTGTTTTATCAAACCTGACACGACCAGTAGTAACGAATACCATGCCCGCCCCGACGGCGGCTTTATGCAGCGGTACTCTCTCTACAAATCTGACAGGCTCGCGGGAACCTTTAGACATTTCTCGGCTTTCAATTCTGCTCAATAATCAGTTTCGATCTGCTTCCTGCCAGGCCGCTCTAGACATAAATCCCAGAGACGTGCAGTCACCGCGCTTGAAACCTGGATTTGACTTGGAATCTGTGTCCAACCACAGTGAGCCGTCGGAATTTCCCGACCAAAAGAAGAGGCGCCGTCTTGTCGAGTTCGGTCTCTGGTCCAGAAAGCAAACGAGAGAGGATGACGTCTCCTTCCTTGGCATTCTTCAAACCGTAATTCCGGCGCTCGACACGCTGAATACAGTGTGGCTTGTCCTTGGCATCGTCATGACTGTGATTGGGGCTTTGACCACGCCGGCCTTTTCGGTGTGCCTGGCACGGCTTCTCGCTGTCATGTGGTCTCCCGGAGACAAGGTGGCAGCAGGGAAATCATGGGCCTTGTCTCTCATCGCTATTTCCGTCGTCGACGGGGTCTGCGTCGGATCGGGACGCTACCTGCTCGAGGCGTCTGCGCAGGCGTGGGTGGATTCAATTCGGCGCTCTGCCCTCGCGAGCATCCTGCACCAGCCCAAATCTTGGTTCAACGACGAAAAGAACTCGCAGACGCGTATCATGGAGACTTTCAACCTGCACGCCGAGGAAATGCGCAATCTCGTCGGTCGCTTCGTGCCCGTCATCGTCTCCGTCGCCACCATGGTCCTCGCGTCCGTCGTCTGGGCGCTCGTGCTCTCCTGGCGCATGAGCCTCGTGGCGCTCTCACCGTTGCCGCTCGTCGTCGTGGCCCTGCATACATACACGGCCCAGAGCCGTGCGTGGGAGACGCGCTGCTCCAACGCCGCGGAGCAGACGGGGCGGATTCTCGGGGAGGCACTCACACACGGCCGCACCCTCGTCCACTACGGCCTCGAGACACACTTTGCCGGCAAGTATACCTACGAGACGACGCAGTGCCTCAGCCTCGGCTTCAAGAGGGCTCTCTATACCTGCCCCCTCTTTGGCTTCTACCAAGCCTTCAGCTATGGCATGACGTCGCTCCTGTTCTACTACGGGATGCGGCTGATGACGCACGATGCCGCGTCCATGGACAGCGTGCTGCAGGTCCTCAACCTGCTTCTCTTTAGCATCGGCACAGCCGCCGAGCTGCTCAGTGCCATGCCGCAAATCACGCTGACCCTGGCCTCGGCGGCGCGGGTCCTCGACTATGCGGCGCTGACACCCCACGGTGAGCTGCCGGCCGAGACGGCCGACGCCTCTCACGGCCGCGCCAACATCTTGCCCATCCGCGTGCGCGAGCTCGCCTTTGCCTATCCCGGCAATGCTCGTCCCACGCTTATCAGCACCACCCTCGACATCTTGCCCGGCCAGTGCACCGTGCTCGTCGGCGCCTCTGGTTGCGGCAAGTCGACGCTCCTCTCGCTCCTCCTCGGCCTGCAGCAACCCCCCCTCTCCTGCTCCCCTTCTCCTTCCCTTCTGTACGCCGACACGCCGTGCTACGCCATCGACCCGCGGCATCTCCGTGCCACTATAGGCTACGTCCCGCAGACGCCCTATCTCTTCCCCGCCTCCATCGCCGACAACATCGCCTACGGTCTGGACCCCGCGTCGCCGCTACGCCACCGCTCCAACATTCGCGCCGCCGCCCGCGACGCCGGCATCGACGACTTTATAATTTCCCTACCCGAGAGTTACGACACACGTGTCGGCGAGGGTGGCACAACCACCCTCTCCGGTGGTCAGGCCCAGCGCATCACCGTCGCCCGCGCGCTGGCGCGCCACCCCTCGCTGCTCGTTATGGACGAGCCCACTAGCGCACTCGACACCGAGAGCGCCGCTGCGATTCGCGCCTGCATCGTGGAGCTCGTCGTGCGCTGGCGCGCTGAGCGTAGACCAGCCGGCGTGATCGTGGCGACGCACAATGTGGAGATGATGCGCGTGGCCGATACCATCATCGTCATGGACGGCGGGCGTACTGTCGAGCAAGGCCCATTTGAGGACTTGTGGTTCAACGGCGACGCATTTCGGCGTCTGGTATGTCAGGATCAGGATGACTCTTAAAATACATGAATTTGGTGGATTTTTGTTTGCTTTGCTGTTGGCGTTGTACTCGATGACATATCGCTTCTTACTTGTTTCCTGTGGCATTTGTACACGGCGCCGTAACACAGCACATGTTGCTCTTCTCTTCTTTCGAGAGAAATTATTGACCCATGCACGGGTGTTGCATTGCCAATACTTTTGTCCTTGATGTAGCTTCTTCTTCTTCTTTTCACTTATTAGCTTCAAGGTGTTGCACTTCGTAACAATCTTTACGAATGATCATAGTGCTACGTTTATGCTAGTCTATTTTGTATTAATCTCGCTTACTTTACGAAAGATTAACTCCCGTTGTTATGTGCATTTTTTATATAATCGAGTAGTAGGAATCTATATGTAATTGCAAGTTTTCATACGTCGTCATGATGCCAAGCCAGAAAAGGGGAACAGAAACGCAAAAGAACCATGTAGCCAAGAATGAAAAAAGGCCAAACAAGCCCACCTCCCAAGTCGGAAAACAAAAAAAATTGCAGTATGCAAAAAATATGGCATCCAATCCGCCAAGAAGTACAACTCCGGGGGCGGGGGGGGAGATCAAGCCCTCACTAAATACAACAGCCATGCATCAAACCCCCTTTTTTGATGTTCCTCGATGAAACAAAGAAAACTTACTTCCAGTATGCTTGTGCTCGCTTTCTTATCGTCTTTTTCCGTAAAATCGAAAAGACCCGTGGATGAAAAACCAAAAAAGAAAAAAAAGAACAGATGTATTTGCGTCAAGATCAAAGTGTGTTGAAGAACCCCAGCCCCCCCCCCCCCCCCTCCCTCTTAGAAGAACGGCATGCAAATGAGGTCATCTATCGACGCTTGGAGCGAAGAAAAGATTCCCAAGTAAAGCCATTGCGAGCCTTGGGTCGCGTATGTGTGAGCTGCGGCCGGGTGGGCTCAACCCACCGATAGCGGGCTTGAACTCTGTTGGGGCGACGGCGAGCTGTGTCCTCCTCCTTTGCGACAGTCATGTAGCGCAGGAGGTTTTCATCCTGACTCGGGGGCACGCGGTGGTTGACCCAGGTGCCGAGAATGGGGTCCTCCTTGGGCGTGCGGGGGTGAATCTCGAGCACATCGCGTCCCACTGTGCGACCAACCTTGGCGGCCTCAATAAGGCCAAGAAGGTCAACCTCGCCTTCAGTCTTGTCCGGCTCGGTGTCATCCTCGCGTGCGCGCTGGGCGGCGATTTCCAGGGCTTCGCGCTGTTCAGCCGTCATTTCAAGATCCTTGCCCTCACCCTTGAGTTGCTGCAGCAGCTGGCGGCCCCGACGAGACACCATCTCTTCTACCGCATTTAGCGGCTCGGGATGCTTGACTTTTTGTTCCTCGTCTTTCTTCTTCCTGTGCAGGCGTGGCAGGCAACGTCGAATAGGGCCGGTAACGGTGAGGAAAGTCGACCTGACCCATAAGAAAAAACGCAGAACCCATCGATCAGGGACTTGGCGAATCAGTGCACCCAATGGGATGGTAAGTATACCGAAAAGCATACTCCAACCCCATTGGGCACCGGTGAGAGGCTTCGTGTCGAATGCTTCACCACCCTTGAAGATGATGATGAATTGGCCGGCCAAGGTGAGACATTGGACACCAATGAACCAAGGATTGCGCAGCACACCTTGGTACCAAATGTCCAGCTTGTTATCAACTCGACGGCAGTTGTGCTGGTTGAAAAACTGCATCCATACGTATATGTTGAAGACCAGCGTTTGCAGCTTCTCGACTTCAGCCTCGGTGCCAGGATTAAAAAGTTCCCAACCGATGTAGTGTACCAAAAAGACAACGAGTAGCTGGTAGATTGCCTGCCCGAGTATCATTTTCCACATGGTAATGCTGACAATAGGGGCATTGCGTGGTTCGGGCTTGCGCTTCAAGAAGTCGGGAGAAGGGTGGTCGGTGGCCAGACCGAGGGATGCAAAAATATCCATAATCAAGTTGATCCAGAGAAGTTGAACAACCGTGAAGATGGCGTCGCCGACCAGCTTCGAAACAACCGTAATGATGCCAGCAGTAATGTTGATTGTGAACTGGAACTGACAAAACTTCTTCACAGCGTCGTTGACGGTACGGCCCCAACTCAGAGCTTTGACGATGGAGGCAAAGTTGTCGTCGAGGAGAATGATTGAAGCTGCCTCCTTTGCAACCTCTGTGCCCTGCAAGCCCATGGCGAAACCGACATCAGCAGCCTTTAATGCGAGGGCGTCGTTGGTACCATCTCCGGTGACAGCCACCGTTTCCTTCATACCACGCAACCGCGATACTAGTAATAGCTTATCCTCGGGACTAGATCGCGCGAGAACCTGGAGACGGGGGATGACTCTGTCGAGCTGCTCGGGTGACAATCTTCGAAAGGTTGGTCCATTCATAGCAATGCCACCAGGTGTGTAAATGCCACACTCAGTCGCGATGGCTTTGGCTGTCGTGAAGTTGTCACCGGTAATCATGCGAATAAAGACTCCAGCGTCTTGACATTTCTTGACAGAATCAACAACTTCCGGTCGAAGTGGATCTCTAATGCCAAACAGACCAGTAAGGACCAGGCCGGAAGCGAACCATTCCAGATTGACTGTGGCCGGGTCGTCGTCTGGATTATCAAAGACCTCTGATGCTTCGAAATCACGAAAGGCGACAGCAACAGGACGCAGCATCTGTTCAGCATATTCCTGAATAGAGTCACGTATGCTCGTCCTATTCTCTTCGGTCATATGGCAGGTGGTGATGCGAAATTCCGGATCGGCAATCGTATAGGCACAGTATTCGAAGACAACTTCAGCAGCACCTTTGATCAGTAGTCGATATCGTCCGTTCGGCAGCTTAATAAGAACAGCCATCCACTTTTTAGTCGAGTCAAAGGGAAACATGGTAAGCACGGGCGTATTGGCACGCTCTTCACGCAGCGGGCCCATGCCTAGATGGTCATGGGAGAACTGGAGCAGAGCAGTTTCTGTGCTAGATCCTAGATAGCTAGGTTTGGAGCCATCGTTGGTCTCAAAAGCGGTCGAGTTCAGAGCAATGCTATCCTTTAAGAGATCGCGCAGGTCTGTTGAAAGGTGAGAGGTTGCATAGCTAGACGTCTCGCCTCTGACTACAGCTGTGGTGGGCGCGCCGGAGCCAGCAGCCACTTCTGTTGTTTCAGTATCGTCGAAGCTGCAGTCTAGACCAATGCGACCAGCAACTACTGTCATTTTGTTCTGTGTCAGTGTCCCAGTTTTGTCAGAGCAAACGGTCGTAGCGTTGCCCATAATCTCGCAGGACCGAATCAGGCGAACAAGGTTGTTGTCCTTGAGCATGCGCTTGGTGGCGAAAGCGAGAGCCATCGTAACATTAAGGGCGAGACCTTCGGGGACGGTGATGATGACGACAGTAATGGCAAAGGTAAAAATTTCAAAAAACCTTTCGGCTTTCTCGGATGGGCCAATGCCTTTGAGATCATCCAAGTTGACCAAGAACTGGATGAAGAGAATGAGGAAGAAAACGGAGCCGGCGGCGGCACCAAAGAGAATAAGCTGCTTTCCTAGTCGACCAAGCTTGGCTTGGAGTGGTGTCTCTTCCACATCCTCGCGCAGCGAGATAAGGGTTCGTCCATAGGTTGAATTAGCACCCACCGCCGTGGCCAAATATTGGCCTACACCGCGACAGATGGTGGTTCCGCTAAAGAGGAAAGGGTCGGCGCGGTCGGCATGCGTAGGATCATGATCGACTGCAAGCGACTTGTGGACGAGACCGGCTTCACCAGAGACGGAGGCTTCATCTACGTGCAGGCCAGCAGCGCGAACGAGAACACCGTCTGCGGCAAGGATCTCGCCAGCCTCGACGTGCATAATGTCGCCGACCATGACGTCGTAGACGGAGACTTGCTGGATTCTGCCACAGCGTAGCACAGCAACGTCGCGCTGTGACTTGCGCTCATTGAGCTTTTCAAACTTGTGGTTTTTTTGGAAGTCGGTGATGGCGCTGGCAAGGACAATGACGAGAATAGCAACAACGACGGTGACACCGTCTACCCATTCAATGTTGGCATTCTTGGTCTTGGCGTCGACGGACTGGTAGATACCAATGGCAAGGGAGATACAGGCGGAAATGGTGAGCAAAATCAGGAGCTTGTCGTTGAAAGCAATCCACATGAGCCTGAAGAAGGACTTTTGGGGTCGTCGAGGCAATCGGTTCGCGCCGTAAATGCGACGACGGTCGAGGAACTGGTGGTTGGGCTCGTCTCCTATTCGCAGCAGGATGCCAGTACTGGTAGAACGAGGTTGCGGGATCTGTTCAATCTTGGGATCGCGCTGTTCCCTGGCGGCGGCGACGGCTTCTTCGAATGTGATTTTGCCTGGCAGCTTGGTCTCGTCGACGCTAAGTCCGGTCGAGACGTTGGCTCGTAGGCCGCCGGCGAGACCGTAGATGCCACCAAAGACATCGAGAGCAGCAAGACTACGGTATGTCAAGAGCTTATAGAGCTGGCTGGGGGAGAAAGCAAAGGGGCTGTTGTCGGGAGCGGGCTCGTCGTGGTGGATGTCCCTCGAGATCTCTTCAAACGAGGCAGGCGCGGCGGCTGCGTCGGGGTTGGGCGCAACGAGCGGCTCACGTGGCGTGGCCGGGCCCAGGACCGGCGTGATTTCGTCCATGGCGATGACAACGATGACGCCTCAGGTGCTGCATCTGGCGTTTAAAACACAGATGACGCCTTTGAACAAGAGAAAGAAGGGGAAGGGGAAAAAAAGAGAGAGTCGACGGCTGGCGACGGGAAGCAAAGTGGTGAAGCCGCCAAGCAAAGGTTGACAGGCCAAGCAAGACCAGCCAGGCAAGCCAGCCAACGAAATCAGCCGAGCCAGCCAGTTGATAAGTCGTTTGCTCGCTGGGGGCGCAAATTTCCAGTGACTGACCCCCCTGTAAGCTCCGGTAAGCCTCGTTACAGCGCTAACGTCGTCAACCGGGCAGGATCACTCCACTATAAATTGAGCCACTGGAGCAGCTAAGAGAGTCAGGCCAGCCACTCATAGACGAGTCTGTTTTGGTCTCTTGCGGGCCTGATTCTGCCTATATCTACCTACTTGCCATATGTGACCTGCGTCAGGCTCTCCCAGCGAGATGGGGAAATTGATTGACAAACTGCAATTGTCCAGGTAGCCGTGGTCCATGCGCCATGAAACAAGCCTTCCATCGGGCGTATGCTGCTGCCGATTTTAGTGGGCTCGGGGTCGTCGTGACTCTCTTGGAGTCTTGGTGTAGTGTCGCGACTCAGCTGTCACCTGTAATAAGCTCTGGGGCGCTCCTTGGCGGGCCCTGGTTGGTTGGCCGAGCCGGGGGGGTAGAGGTTCCTTGGCCCGTTATCTGTAGATGATGAATTATGGTTGCAATTAAACATTGTAATGTCTTGCTTTATTTTTGTTCTATTTTTGCCAGTCTATTTTCTTGTTTTGCGACTCCTCGCTCCCTTATACCACCACAAAATACTCCGTAAAAGCCAGAGTGCTAAATGGCCGCGAAAATCTCCCACCAAGCGCCCTCTTTCTTTTATTTTTTATTCTACTCGCCATCTTGCATGAGCCTTGCAAAAGTCCCATCAGGCATCGAATGCACGTCCCCATCCATTGCCAAGCCTCTAAAAGCGCGGCTCACGTTCGCGGCCTTGCTCGATGTATGCATTGTACCGTCACGTACGTGGCAGTGTGGGGCCGGTTTCCCGCCATCCAAATCTAGGTACTTTAATCCGTACCTACCTACGGTGCTACCTCCGTACAGAATGCTCCGTACCTGGTAAGCTCCCTTTGCCGCATTCAACTTGAGGGTGCCATGGCATCGATGCCTTTGCTTGTCTCAATGATCACCGCAGCCATCAGCAGAAGCTCCTTGATATCAGCTGCATGATACCCAACTGCAAATGCATCGGCCTCACCGGATCGTCACCGCCGCCCCCAGCACCATCGTTGTCGTGACTCGTCACGCAGCCTGCCCCCTCAACTTAAAATCTTGCGCATCCTGGCGATTCCACCCGCAAAGCAACCCTGTCACCCACCCCCGTGGATTCTACATCCATCCCTTGTCCTTTTCTATCTTATTACGAAGGTTACGCCTATCGCAATTCTTGGCACTGCCTTGCACACGCAGTCCAATTGCCGTGGCTCCATCAACAATTGCTCCAACTCGGCCTCGTCCCCGCCACCAGCGTCCACCTGCCGCCACATACATATTACCAGGACACCGAGATATGCTGGTTTCTCGAACCAACGCACCTACTTTGACCTAGCCTTGCAGCTAGTGTCTTGCGCTAGTTAATACGCCTCCATCAAACGCAGCTTACGAACCGTTAACCCATGTCGCATAAATCAGCTATTATCGTGTCTGGCATTGGGAACGACGCAACTGAAAACATCTAGAATTTTTTCTCAAACTCTAATCGTACTGCGGGAAATATCCTCTCATGGCGATTATGCTTGGCGTATATCCAGAGCGCGCCTAGGCGAGCGTAGGGCTGAGAACATCTTTCTGCGGAGTAATTACAGTGTGCGGTCCTCTCATCGGAGAATTACTGACTAGGCTATCCCAGTCTTCCAGTCAACGAGTTTGACCGTGTATTTTGAACCCGGCGACTGCCCTGGTCTCAAAATCAGGCATGCTTTTAGACGTCTGCTTGTGTACGTCTTCGCTCTCCATAGCTCGTATGGCAAGCTAAGTCTTCCCGATGATACGATCGAAGGAAATCCGAGGTCATGAAACGACACCGCCACCAAGGGGGCTTTCAAGAAGACTTTCGAGAAGTAGCCGTGTTCCGCCGACCACGCGATGGTCCGCCCTTTCAGGTAGCCACTCTTCTATCTTCAAGCATTGTCGCGCCGCTCATCGAAGCCAATGACAAGTAGTACGTGCGAGATCGGCCTAGAAGACGGCGACGCGCGTTCGTACCAGCTGATGCAAACGGCACCGAACGCGAGCGGTGGTGGCGGAGACGATTCATTCCGTGAATAGACTCGGCCGAACTGTCATTCACCTTAAATACTACCTGGAATTGTTGTACGAATTTCAGGGTCGGGACTTCCTTGTCTGAGGAGACGACAGAATGGATAGGTAGTTGCTGGCAGTAACCTTGTAGGCGCAATCGACAAAATACGTCGAACTTAGAAGCCGAAGCTTCTGTCGGATGTTCTGACCCTCAACATGCCGGACCGTGTAAGCGACGGGTGGCTCTCTGAAGCGTCACACACTCACGTCTTGCCCGTCATTGAGCTCCCGTCAAGCGGCTCCGCTACGTCTCGTGTCACCATGATCCGCGAGACTGGTTCTCTTTCAGACAAGGTTGCTAATTTGGAGCCCTCTGTCAGCTGAGCAGTCAGAGACTGGTCGTCGGCAGCGTGCCTGATCACTGTGCGCCATGACACTGTCTTCCCAGGTTAGGACAAGAAGACGGAACCAATCTGTCGGGGCCGCCTGTGTTTCCTTGACAGAGATTCCCCCTTTTTTTCCTTTTTCAAGGTTCTCGTCTAAAAAGTCTTGTCTTTGTGTGTGTGAGTTTCGCCGTGCTCGCCCGCTCAAGAGTTCTCGCCACGATGGAGCTCGCCGTCCCCAGTCTCGGCGACTGCAACCGAAGCGCACTGAGCTGCTTCCGGCAACAATATTGCATATTGAGCAAGCGAGGCAACAATAGATCAGTAATGAGCCGTCTTGGGTAGCAATGATCAGCATCCTATAAAAATCACAGGATGTGTTCCGTTAGTTTCGACACCTCTGGACAAACAGAATCTTACATCCAAGACACCTCTCACTATGCATCTCTTGACACAACTCATTACCATGGTCGTTGCCGTGGCTGTCGCCGTCGCAGCCGATACCATCACCCCCAAGGTCATGATTGTTTCCATGGTTGGTCATCCTGCCCAGCAGCCTTCCCTCCGGCCCCTCGAACTCGCTAACATGCAACCTTGCTGCTCCGTCTAGTTTGCTCCAGAAGCACAAGCCTGGTACCACAAATTCGAGCATTGCGGACTTGGCAACCTCTCCGCCATCGACATTACCACCCGCGGCCTCTCCATGCTATTCCCCTCCATCTCCTGCACGCAGGACGCCAGCGTCTGCCACGTCACCGTCGGCGAGGGCGAAATCAACGCTGCAGCGTCCGCCATGGCGCTGCTCCTGTCGCCAGCCTTTGACTTGCGCAAGACGTACTTTCTCCTCGGCGGCATCGCAGGCGTCAACCCGCACCGCGCGACGCTAGGCAGCGTTGCGTTTGCACGGTACGCTGTGCAGGTGGGACTGCAGTACGAGGTCGATCCGCGCTCAGCGCCAGACGACTGGGACACGGGCTACATTTCATACGGCAGCGACCGACCTCACCAGTACCCGAGCGTTGTCTATGGCTCCGAAGTCTTTGAGCTCAACGCCAAGCTGCGTGACGCCGCCTACGAACTGGCCTCGACGGCCACGCTCGACGACGCCGACAATGCGCGCGCTCTCGGTGCGCAATACGCGGCCGGGAGTGCCGCCGCTCCTCCCGGCCTGGTCAAGTGCGACGTCACGACGAGCGATGTCTATTTTGTCGGGGACAAGCTCGCGCAAGAATTCGACGCGACGACCGAGATCTGGACCAACGGCACCGGTGCGTACTGCATGAGCGCGCAGGAAGACAATGCCATTCTCGAGGTCCTCGTGCGCGGCGCCGCCGACCGCCTCGTCGACTTTTCCCGCATCGTGCTCCTACGCGCCGGCGCCAACTTTGACCGCCCGCCGCCGGGCGTGCCCATTCGCGACTTCATGGCCGAGGCCGCCGCGCAGCCCGGCCAGGCCATTGCGGCGCAAAACATGTACAGCGCTGGGGTGCAGGTCGTCCGCGGCATCGTCCGCGGCTGGGACGAAACGTTTGCGCGGGGCCTCGCGCCGGATAATTACGTGGGAGACATGCTCGGCAGTCTTGGCGGCGAGCCCGACTTTGGCACGCCCGGGGTGAGGCTGGACGCGCAGCGTCGGCTGGTGACGGCAGGATCGAATAGGCAAGCGAGGAGGCGAGTGCGGATGCAGTCACAAGAGCATGTAGAAGCGCGGCGCCAAGAACGGCAGAAGGAGGCAAACTTGGCAAGAGCGTAGAGGGGAAGAGACTGCGGTGGTGGCGAATGCCATATTATGAAGCATTTTCTTGAACAAAATATTACAATGTACACAAACTAGTAGTATATAGTTGCTATTATTAAAAGACAAATAAAGAATCTCATGTCAATGCTATTCCGATTCAACCATTCTTCGTAAGCTCATGATTTCATTAAATTTGACACCATCAACATTTCACGCCATCAACACTCCACGACACAGAGAATCAAAAGGAAAAAGATGAGAAAAAGTGACTGGGTATAAGTCGTGTAACCAAGGCAGCCGACCCGTGTTACAACGTGGCAAGGATGCAAAAAAACTTGCAACACAAAGCTGCAACACAAGCGACGCTTCGGCATCCTCAACAGAAGGAAAAAGAAAAAAAGAAAAAAAAGAAAGAAGAAAAAAAAGGACAAGCAACATGCTATTCTCTCGCTGTGCAACGACCCATCGAACATTTCTACCAATCGGTCCATTCTTGGTGCGGCCCGTGGACGCACAAGGCATCCCAGCGGCCCGCGAGCCACAGCGTGGCAAAGTGAAATGCGAGCAGCAAGGCGCCCGTGCCACGGGCTTGAAACAGCCCGCCGACGTGGTAGGGCTGGCCGCCACGCAGCGAACCGCCGCCGCCGACGTGGCTCACGGGCGACGAGGCAAAGAGCAGCTCGAGCGCGGCGACGACGAGCAGCGGCGCGCACACCTCGAGGTTCGCGACGTACGGCCAGCACGGCCGCGCCAGCGTCGCCGTCTTGAGCGCAAAGAGGGCCAGCTGGAAGGCGTACACGAGCGACTGCGTCTCGATGCCCAGGGCGTGGCACGCGTGGTAGAGCACGACGGAGATGCGGTGCTCGATTTCCGCCCAGCGACTGCGCGGCGGGGGCAGCAGCAGCGGCGTGGTCGGCGCCCGCTGGTGGTGGTGATCGTGGGGGGACAAGTGCCGCGGCGCCGCGGCAATGACGCTGGTGGCGGTCGGCGTTGCAGATTCATCCCGGTAGCCATTTGCGTCTCGGTGCGAGACTGTGAGCGACTGCTCAACCACCTGGTCGTTAGGGAGGCCCGACGATGTATTCGCGTCTGCATTCTCCGACGCAACCCAGGCTGCCGAGTCATCGTAGCCTCGGTTCGTGTTTTGTGTCGTGTCTGGACAGCTGAGGTTAATATACGAGGTGTTTCCGAATCCAGCTTCGAAAAACTCACCTGGTACGGGCGTTCCTGACCCAGCTGGGGTATCTAGATTCTGCACTCGGCTCCCGCGCAAGCCCCCCAGCACCGGATTGGCCCGCTCTGGACGTCCCAGGGTCTCAAAGTTGGTCTCACTCGTCATCGCGTGTAACACTTCGTTTGCGCTCGGTCTCTCCGCGGGATCGAGAGACAGCAGCTTCTTGAGCAGCGTGTACAGCTTGGCTGGCAAGTCGGGCCTTTCGCGCCGCTCGTCTTTGAAGCCCTTCCAGTCTGCAATCTCGGCGCGTAGCAGCTCCACATCCTCCAGCTCCTCTTGTATGGCGTTGGCGCTGCGATACGGCAGCTTGCCAAAGCACATGAAATATAGAATCATGCCCAGCGAAAACATGTCCGACTTGGTCGTAAAGTTGCCGTAGAAGCCAGTCGCCGGGTCCAGCTTAAGAACTTCCGGGGCGCAGTACGATATGGTACCCGTAGCTCCGGTCGAGTTTCTGGCTGCATTCTCCACCTGAACCTCGCCAAAGTCACTAATCAAGCACCGTATACCAGAGTTGTCGCGGTGTATTAGGCAATTACTGGGCTTCAGGTCGCGGTGTATATAGTTATGATGATGAAGGTAGTCGACGCCGGTCGTGACGTCTTTGAAGAGCGAGTAGATTTCCTCCAACGCGAGCTGGGACTTGACAGCGGTGAGATTTTTAGGCGGCTCGGGCTGGCCCTTTGACCGCCGTCGCATTTGGGCTTTGAGCTCTTCCTTGGTCGTCGGCGTCGGGACATCGCCGACAACATGGTGCTGCAGGTCGCCGCCATTGCAGTATTGCTGAAGGATAAATGCGCAGGCAACTGGCGGGCCAAACATGCTCAACCGCACATCCTCCAGCCACACATGGCGGTAGGAAACCAGGTTTGGGTGCGAGAGGTTAGCCAGCAGTTCAACCTCAACCAGGGCCTTTTCCAGCCATTCGTGATCGTCGCCCACAGGGACTCGCTTGCAAGCAAACTGCCCGAGACTATGCCCGTCTAGTTTGTGTCGTACGAGCAAAACGACTCCCTTGCCGCCTTTTCCCAGAACACGCTCCTCACTGAAAAAGGTCTTGTAGTAGTTGGGACTGAAGGCTTCGCGGCGGATTCTGCTGCCCCTCCTCTGCGGCTGCTCCGGAGCCCGAATAGGCTCCAGGTCTTCTTCTTCTTCTTCGTCCAGCACCTCTGGCGATCGAAATCCGATGCGGCCGCCGTTGTAGTCGGGCCGCGGCAGCGTGCGCACGGGGCTCTGCGAAGCTCGGGCGGCAGGGAGAAAATTGTAATTGCCGCGGCGCAGCATGCGAAAGTATTCTGGATCGACAAAGGAATCTTCGGCTCCTTCGTACCGGTCATAGGTATGATTGGCCGCAGAAGTCGAGCCTTGCGGCAGCGGCTGCTGGCAATGCGGACATGTCTGACCGCGAATTTCGAGGCGCTGGGAGTCGGGATCTCGAACAACGACGGCGTTGCGATGACGGCTGCAGGCGGGATATGCTGAGGTTAATGGGACAAACTTGTACGATGCAGTTTTCGATGAATGGGCTAGTTGGTTGACGGCACCTACAGGACTATTTCACGGCCCTCGCGAGGGTGGTATGGAATTAGGGACATGACGTAGGCGGGTCGAGGCTATAGATAGCTCTGGCAAACAGGTACATATACCGTTGCCGGGCGAGCTCTCCATCCAAATGTCAGGATAGTGCATCACCTGCTCGTTTGATGACCGCGTCTGGCGGCAGAGCAAGACAATATCGTCGGCAGAGAAAATTGGAAAGAAATTTATCGAGGATGTTGCTGCTGAAGTGTTTGTGGCAAAAGGTGGGGGGAGCTGAGCTGAGCTGCAAGGGCGGAATCCAGTTTCTGGTGAGACCTCGTCGCCGCGATCCCTTAAAAGGTTCAGCTCGCCTTGTCAACCGCAAAACAGCTTCATTGGACTGGCACAGGGTATAAATTCATTGCCGTTGGAGTGCTCCACGGCACGCATTTTATACTCTGACTGGCTCCGTGAACAAGGCGGTGTGATGCTGCATTTTCTGACACACGTCAAACTTGCGAGAGAGGTGTCATGATAAGGCGCTCCGCATGCACACGACAAGCAGACGGCAGAAGCTGCATGCACTGGGCGAAAGCCGACGGACAGACATGGTCGGCCCGAATCACGTCCAGATGGACTTTCACGAGGGGGCGGTGAATCGGTGCCGTCAAAGGCCGCGAACGTTTTGAAAGAGCAGCTGATAAATAGCTACCCTACTTCAACCCAGACGACTTTGAAGGAATGGCTGGTTTTTTTGGCCAACATTGGTCTATTTCAATCGTCAAAAATTCATCAAAGTCGTGTAACCAAAAAGGACGCTTGCTAAATCATGTGTCTATATACATTTCTGACACGCCGCCGATAGCTCATCAATTCGTACGGTCGAACCACACCAATGGAGTATGTGCCGTTTCGTCTCTCATGTCAATGCCAAATCTAACAGGCGTTCCCTGCCCATCCACCTCAAACTGTGCTCTGTAGCATGCAACTGGACGCTTCACCATGGGGTAGTCGTCCATGTAGAGCCATGCGACCCAAGATGCACCAGAGACGTGCTGCAAGCGATAGGACAGCGGATTGCCAAAGCTGTTGCCCTTTTGCACGCGCAGCATGCAGTGTCCATCGAACAGACTGAATGCGGTTGGTGTGTTCGCTGGCCCCTGCCAGGCACAGTCACGGGAGATGGCAATGGTGCCGTAGCCGTCGTTGTGATATGTGCCCAAGAAGGTGTCCAGGGGAGCACCGGCGTCCTGGGGCGCGCTGACCAGGTTTGGGTATTTGAACTTTGGACATGTGTCGAGTTCGATCTCGCTCTTGGATCGATACTTGCTGTACCTAGAACGACATGTTAGTCAAGACTCGTGATGACAACTGGCAAGCCCTTACACTTCTTGCGGGTCAAATCGCTTGCTCGGCTCTACTTTGAAATAGTCGTTCAATACTCTGGCGGTAATTGCATCTAGTGACGCTAATGAATTCGTATTCATCATGGCGACGTATGCAAACTTGCGGCTGGGCACAAACAACATGAACGATACCATTTGGTTTACATAGCCAGAGTGATACCAGACGGCTTCATTCTCAAAGACACCGACGTTCCAGCCGAGCGCATAGGAGGCCTGGCCCGTAAAAGCCGCGGCCAAGACATCGACGCTCTCACCCACCACCATGTGCGATTTTCTGATCATTGCATGCCCAGCTTTGGAAACGGGACCTGTTTCGTCCAGCATGTGCCGGAGATACCTTGACCAGTCGTCCACCGACGAGATGGCCATGCCCGCGCCCGCAATACTCGACTCATCGTGCTGGGGCATGGGGTACAGAGTCTGCGTATCATTATCCCAGTAAAATGATGTTGCGAGATGCTCGCCGCCGGCGCGCGCCTCGCCTGGGTGCAGGTACGTGTGGTTCATGCCCATGGGCCGCCACAGCCTGTCTCGGAAGAAGCGCGCGAGCGACGTGTTGCCGAGCTTCTCAATGACGTGGCCCATGGTACCAAACATCATGTTGTTGTATTGCCACTTGGCGCGCGGCTCAGCAGACATTGGCAAGTAACGAAAACGGCGTATCATCTCTTTGGTGTTGTTATGATATGGCCCGGACAAGTCATGTCTTGGGTATCCGGTTCGATGACAAAGGGCATCCGTTACTGTAATGTGATCTGTAGCCCATTGCTCAGAGAGGACAAAGTCGGGCAGGATATTTGAAACGGGTGTATCCCATTCAACAGGAGTTGAGGAGTTGGCAGCATCGTCGATGATGATTGACAGCGCAGCTGCTGTATTTGACTTTGTCATGCTACCGCAGAAGAACAGAGTAGATGGTGTTACAGAGCGGTGGTCTTCTGAAGAGTAGCCGTAGCCCTGGCAGAAAAGCCCAGTCAGGGACTGTCGGCCAAAATCGACACACAATTGCGACTTACCTTGGACCATGTATTGTTGCCATCGATGATGGACATGGCCATGCCAGGCACATGACCGCTACTCATTTGCGCTCGCACGAAGCTCTCAAAGTCAGGCGTGATGATTGATACGCTTCCTGCACCAATCTCCACGACGGGCGCAGCGAGCGCGGCAGCGGCGAGGACGACTTGCATGGCCAATTGCGCGGCCCAGCTGCGGTGACGAGGATGCCTCGGGAGCCTCATTGTGAAAAGCAAAAAAAAAAAAGAACGGGAATTTCTTGGAACAGAAAAGTATCCTTTATCAGACGAGCAAGCGCAAGGACTCCTCGAACGCTCGAGCGATGGCTGTCAACTAGCGCGCGGACACAACGATAAGCAAAGTTGGACGAAGCGCAAAAAGGCAGATATGCTGACAATCCCGCTCGGTGCGATTGGTAAAGTTGTTTCCTCGCCTCCGCATGACATCTGGGGGGGGGGAACAGAAAGGCCGCTGGCGCCCTTAGAAGCCGCAGGAATAAAGGGCTTCTTTTATACTGACACTGATGGTTGCATTATGCGCAGGCAAGTTGCCAGCTCGGGGGGGCCTGGCTCGGGCCCGGCGGGCGCCGCGTTGCTTTTTCATGTACAGCTCGGCATTGGAATGAGCCCATGAAAAAACAAGAACTCCTCGATGCAACGCTCTTGATTGGCGATGACCGTTGGGAACTTGTCAACCCCAGTCGTTGCGCCCGTCGTGCTCTGATATGAGTGGATTTGCTACTAGCCCTCGGGGGCGATAACCGCAGCAACAAAGGTCTCGGTTTTCTCATCTCCATTTGAGCTGACCGGAAATCATCCGGGACAACTGAAGAAGAAAAGGGTCATTCTCAAGGATAATTTGGTCGTCTACCTTGAGGTTGGGCACCGAATGGAGGGTGCCTAATAAGCCCACGTTGGGACTTGGGGGTAACTAGGTAACTATTCGTTACTTATCAGTCGAATATGGATTCCTACATGGCCCGAAAATGACAACGGTTCTAGTACTACGGCGGTCCGCTGATGGGGGAGGGGACACTAGTAACTAGTTAGCAGAGGGTCTATGGTACGTTGAGTTGGCGGTTATATTGGTCATTTTTTTAAATGTCGCGGTGTCAGTTCAGCATCAATCTTTTGGTGGATCCATAGACTGTTGTCTTGAATTTGGTTGCTTCCGGGTCGTCGGAGGCGAGGACATGGGTTTCAAGTTGGTGAATCAACTTCTGCAAGTTAGATAACGTGACGTAAGGTGTCAGTACTGCAAGCATGGAAGCGAGGTTCTACCAAAAGTCCGGAAATACTGATATTCCCACAATAGAGGCAAGGGGGCGATGAAAGTCGATTGTCAAGGTGTATTCAGTATTTGCAAAGTAGAAGCGAGGGAGGCGAAGAGAACCCCGAGGTTATATTCACCTTGTGTAATAACTAGTGCTCGCGCTCGCGCTATTGGCGTCCGTGCATCTTGGCCACAATGCACACCGAGGTGTGTTATGAATCCCGGCTTCAGCCTTGTTCAAAGGTAAAACTGGTATCGAGACAAGGGCTATAGCATGCTTGAAAGTCTCTTGCATAGGAAATGAATGTCGCTCTGAAATATTTTCGGAAAAGTTGCCGGAGTGATACATGCTTGGGTGTCATCTGCTGAGCTACCCGATTTCCTGTCGTCCGATTCTCCTGACTGCAGCAGGCAAGTCCGCCCACAGCCGCAACAGCAACTCTGTGGAATTTGAATAATGGAAGAAGCCCTCTCTCTTATGGCATATAATTATTTTTTTTGCCCGGGGTTTTCTGTCAATATTAAACCTCATGGCCTGCAGCTACTGGTACTTGTACGGCCCTCTATACAGCACCAGGCTTTCCACTGACGGCACATGGCTCAGCCAGAGGGTGCCCAGCCCTTGTTAGGCTTGGCTCCTTTATCAGCTGCACAGGCTATTCTTTCTCGCCGTATATGTCGGCTGTGGATATGCCCATGAGAATGGTGTGATATCTCAGAGTCAGTAGTGACTCTCTTTCCCATCTCTGGGGCTGGCAAATGAATAATGGCTTCTTTGCATAATAGCCATTAGTCACTTCATTTCTCACACCTGCACAAGCCTCGCTATCCGCGTATTCCAGCACAACTCGGCTCAAGTGCCTGCACAAGTTCCGGCGCCATCTGTGTACTAGGTCAAGCCACGTTGGGCAACAACGAGTTTGATTTGTCAAATCACCCCATCCCCCGCGCCGTCTGACCCCAGACTTAGAGAAAAAAAGAACACATGCTGGTAAATAAACCCGCTTCTTACGGGAGTAAAATAGTTGCATGTTCGCATCCGTATTTTGTGACTCGGCCGACGGGTGCCCAGCCACAACACGCACTGTCTATATGGTATACGGACTCCAAGTCATTCCCGACCCGCGGAGCTGCGCTGCGACCCCGTGGAATGACGGCTGTCCGAATTGCGCTGGACTGTCGCTTGCCTATACAGATCGGGCGGCTTGTTTGTCGAGAAGCTGCAGAGAGCGATGATGAAAGCATCCAGCTACTATCCGTCCAAATGTCGCAACGCATCACAATCAATCCCATACTGTCGGTGGCTGCAGCAAGGGAACAAAACGGAACAAGCCCTTCAGTACCAGTCATCATCACATTTACGAATATGCATATTTCACATTTTAGCTTACTTTTTTAATGCCCGGGCAAGCCCACACCGACCCGTCTCCGCCTGAGGTGTCATGTCTCAGACATGAAGGATGTAAAATAAGCGAGCCTTGTCAAAGTTGTCCCCTCCATAAAAATAACTCCTTTACTTTTCGTTGTGAATACAAATACAGTCTCTCACCCACGTTCTACTTTTCACTCTTGGATTCGCGGATAGCTTTTCTGCTACTGATCTGCGAATCCATCATTTCAACTTAGCGGCAACTCCCCCGCCTTTCGCTACAAGATCTCCCGAGGGCCGCTAGTTACCGGGCTATCCCCAGATTTTTGCTGGGCTTGATGATTCTGTCAGACAGAAGAATAAAAACAGGCAAGCCATTGTATTTAGGCAAGTGGAAATCTCTCATTGGCCCTTGTCAATGTCTCTGTCGACGCGCCCATCGCTATTATGCGACAATCACCCCTCCCCCCCTGCTTGGGCGAGGCTGAACCCCGCCTGGTCTCACTCAATTTACATCCCCTCGTCTTGAGACCGGCAAGGTATTCAAGACCAAGTTTTAACCAACAACCATTCACAATAGACACAGACACATCGCCGTGAACAAATCAGAGGCGTTGGTGTTTTGCGCTGTGCGCGCCTCCCCCCCACGCCCCCCATGGCTACCAGCACCGACGGGCCGGCGGCCGTCACCGATGCCACCACGACCGACTCCACGACCACCGACATGTTGTACCTGGATGAAAAAGCCGGGCGCGGGCAGCAACGCGGCGCTCAAAACGACGGCGACGAATACGGCATCAAAGCCGAGTCCACGGCGCAGGTCGTGAACCGGAGCACCGACGTCGGCCCCATCTACGACGGCCCCATCTACGACGACGATGACAACATGTTACCGCCCGGCGTCGACGCCAACAACGTCGTCTTTTGGGACGGCCCCGACGACCCAGAGAATCCCTACAACTGGAAGCCCTGGATCAAGGTGTTTAATTGTGTCTTGATAAGCGCGCTGACCTTTGTTACGCCTCTAGCATCTTGTACGTTGTTCTTCTTCTTCTTCTTCTTCTTCTTCTTCTTCTTCTTCTTCTTGTTCCTTCTTCTCCTTCTTTTTCTTCCCTTTTTGCTCCCGCCGTTTCACTCGTCAAAACTTCTTCTTCATTAAACCGACAACAAAAAAAAAAAAGAAAAAAGAAAAAAAACTGACCGACAAATGATGTAGCAATGTTTGCTCCGGGCGTACCAAAGCTCATGCGCGAGTTCAAGTCGGATAGCAAAGAACTCGGCGCCTTTTGCGTCTCCGTCTACATTCTCGGCTTCGCGGCCGGCCCGATGCTCTTTGCGCCGCTGTCTGAACTCTACGGACGGACGCGCATCTACCACATTGCCAATGTTGGCTTCATCGGACGTTTTTTTTTTTTTTTGCTCTCCCCTCTCTCACCCCATCTCTTCCCCCTCCGTCTCCTCCTCCTCCTCCTCCTCCTCCTCCTTCTTCTTCTTCTTATTCTCCCCAGCTTGACTAACCGCCTCCTTCCCTTCCCTCTCTCCCCCTTTCCAGCTTTCCTCATCGGCTGCGCCCTCGCACCCACCCTCAACGCCCTCATCATCTTCCGCTTCCTCTCCGGCGTCCTTGGCTCCTGCCCCGTCACCAACGGCGGCGGCAGCATCTCCGACATGATTCTCCAGCAGCACCGCGGCGCCGCCATGGCCGGCTTCTCCATCGGCCCGCTCCTCGGCCCCATCATCGGCCCCGTCGTCGGCGGCATCGTCGCCGAGCGTCTCTCCTGGCGCTGGGTCTTTTGGGTCCTCGTCATTCTCTCCTCCTTTCTCTCCCTCATCTTTTTCGCCTTTTCCCGCGAAACCTATGCGCCCGTGCTGCTCCAGCGCAAGACGGACCGCCTACGACGACGACGACGTCGCCAACAAAACAACAACAACAATAACAACAACAGCAACAACAATACGGCAGCGTTGCTTCGCTCCAAGCTCGACGCTGGGCTCACTCCGCGGGAGCTGTTTCTGCGCGCCATCCTTCGACCATTCAAGCTGCTCGTCTTTTCGCCCATTTGCGCCATTTGCAACGTCTTTGTAGGCATCGCGTACGGGTACCTGTACATTATGTTTACGAGCATCACGCCGCTGTTTGAGCAGCAGTACGGGTTCGATGGCGTGCGCGCGGGCCTCGCGTTTCTGGGCCTCGGCGTCGGCTCCATGCTGGGCGTGGCGTACTTTTCGTCGGCGAGCGACAGATATATCAAGAAAAAGGCAAAAGAAGCGGGCGAGCTGGCGGTAGACGACGACAACGACGACAACGACGACGATGGGGAAGAGGGCATGACGCGCCGTAGACCTAGCGTCGGCGCCATCAAGCCCGAGTACCGCCTCCCGCCGCTGCGTCTCGGCGCTGTACTGCTGCCCGTCGGGCTCTTCATCTACGGCTGGACTGCGCAGTACAAAGTACACTGGATCGTGCCCATCATCGGCACCGCCATCATGGGAGTTGGAAATCTCGTCATTTTCATGGTAAACCCCCCCCCCTTTCCCCTTCTGTTTTTGCATCTTTCATCGTTCAACAAACACACCCCCCGAGCTAACTAACATCTCCCTCTTCTCATAAGTCTCTGCAGCTATATCTCGTAGACACATTCACCATCTACGCCGCCTCCGCTCTCGCCGCCAACTCGGTCGTGCGCTCGCTCCTCGGCGCTGTCCTGCCTCTCGCCGGCGGGCCCATGTACCAGAAGCTGGGCCTGGGATGGGGCAACAGCCTGCTGGCATTCATCGCCGTGGCTCTCATCCCTGTTCCGTGGCTGTTTATGCGGTACGGCGAGTTTTTGCGCAAAAGGTTTGCCATTGAGAGTTTATAGAAAGAAACTTAAACAACGTTTACGATGAATGGCGTGGGATAAAAAGGGAGAATGGCAGTTTGTTGCCGCAATATAGATATCAGGAGATGTGGCATATCCCAAATATACAGGCAACCTATATACTGCTTCTGTTTGCTCGAGGGCACGCGAAGCTTTGCTCAGTCATGGCAGTGCTTCCTTGCCATTTCTAGTGATTCACTGGCTTCACAGCGTCATCATAAATGGGTACCAATCCAACGATTCAGACAAACACATGAATGTCCCTTAGGTTGCTATCAATTTAACGGTTCATTGATTGGTTATTTCAGATATAATACTTCAACGCGTCATTGCAACTGCCTGCTTCGTCTCCGCACTTCTCAGGCGTCTGCGACAATTCATCAGGCTCGCTCTATCCTTTCTCGTCTTGTTGCGTCATAAAACCCCCTTGATTACGGTACAAAAGAAAGCAGAAACTCCATTTTATTGTGCTTTATTTCCATCATTGCAATTTTCCTCCAGCTTGTCAATTTACATCTCGCCAATGCCAAGGTGCTCAGGTTCAGCACGGACAATGCGCAGAGTGTTGGTGTTGCCCATGCCACCCTTCCAGCCCTGGACGACGACGACAGTATCGCCAGTAGTCAGGGTACCAAGCTGCAGAGCCTGGCTGACGGCCCACTTGATGCGCTTGTCGACATCCTCCTGCCAGTTGACCTTGCTGAAGTCGGGCTTGGGCTCGTCGAGGAGGAAGGGGTACACACCGCGATACAGGTGAGCGAAGCGAGAGGTGGTGGCGCTGCGGGTAACCATGAAGATGGGGCAGACGGGGCGGTACTTGGAGAGGAGACGAGCAGACTCGCCAGAGGTGGAGAGGACAATGATGCCACCGGCGCCGAGATCGAGAGAGGCGCGAACGGCGGCCATGGCGCAAGACTCGACGGTGCGGACGGGGCGCTTGACGAGGCTGCACATTTCCTCAAAGTGGGAAACGTAGGGGATAGTGTTCTCAGCCTTGAGGCAGGCCTCGTGCATCTCACGGACGGCCTCAGCTGGGTAGTTGCCCTTGGCGGTCTCGCCGGAAAGCATGACGCAGTCGGCACCGTCGGTGATGGCGTTGCCAACGTCGCTGATCTCGGCGCGCGTAGGGCGGGGGTTCTTGATCATGGACTCGAGCATCTGGGTGGCGCAGATGACGGGCTTGCCAGCGAGGTTGCACATGGCAATCATCTTCTTCTGGGCGGCAAAGACCTCGGCGGCGGGAATCTCGATACCCAGATCACCACGCGCGACCATGACACCGTCCGTCTCGTCGAGGATGTCGCGGAAGTTGTTGAGGCCCTGGCGGTTCTCAATCTTGGCAATGATCTGGATGTTGCGGCCCTCGGGGCCAAGGACGGCGCGAATGTCCTTGATATCCTGGCCAGAGCGGATGAAAGAGGCAAACACCATGTCGACATTGTTCTTGACACCAAACTTGAGATCAGCCTTGTCCTTATCAGACAGGGCGGGGAGGTCGACGTCCGTGTTGGGCAGATTGACACCCTTGCGGGAGGAGATGAAGCCATTGTTGCGGGCGCGGGCCTCAATGGTCTGTTCGTCCTTGATGGAGAGGACGTCGAAAGCAAGGACACCGTCGTCGACGTAGATGATGCGGCCAGGCTGAATGACCTTGGTGATGTTCTTGTAGTCGACGTACCTGAGAAAGTTTGGTCAGCAAATGAGGGGCGATTGGCAGAAAAGGTGAGCTCAGGCGGAGAGGTCGGGGAGGTCGGGGAGCTGCGAGCGGGGCAGTGAAGCTTACATGTTGTCAATGTCGCAAGCAGTCTTGTACTTGTCGTCAGTGGTAATGTTTAGGACGTGGCCGGCAGCAATGGGCAGATCAGCATCGCCCACGGTGTTACCAGTTCGGATTTCGGGGCCCTTTGTGTCGAGAGCAATGGCGCAGGGACGGCCGGGGTGGGTGGCCACGGCCTGGCGGGCATTGTCAATAACGGACTGGTGGTATTCGTACGATCCGTGGGAAAAGTTCATGCGGACAACGTTAAGGCCGGCATCGCGAAGACGGTTAATGGCCTCGACCGAGTTGGTCTTGGGGCCAATGGTGCAAATGATGGAGGAGCGGCGATAATTGTGCTGGGGGCTGTAGGCGGTGTCGAGGGAGGAGAGCCATGAGAGGCGGCCGCCGCCAATGTCGAGATGGTCCTGAGCAGTAGCAGCCATGAGTGAAACGGAGCGCTGACGTTTTGCTTGGGGCATGATGAAGAAAGGAGGAGAAGATAAGCAGGTCTGAAGGCAGAAAGACAAGAGGATAAGACAAAGCTAAGTCAAGGAGGCCGGAACAGGGTCTAGCAAAAAAGTCTGGCTTGGTTAGATGGTGGAGGGGGGTGGATGGCGGGAATGGTTGGTTGAGGAGGGGCGGCAAGCCTAGAAAAAAAAATCAAAGCTGACTTGATGCTTTGGCAGAAAGTGGAATGCAAGCAAGCGGTGGACGGACGGGCAGGCAGGTATCAAGTACTTTTTCCTATTTGACCTGGCAGAGGGACCAATTGATGTCGCACGTTGCTGGGAAGCTCTGGCTGGGGGGGGGGGGAGGAAAGGAGGGGTAAACGAGTCGACTGACGGGCGTGTTTGCCTGGAAGGGGCCTTTGTCTGTGTGTGGTGAGACTGGCCAATATATTTCCCTACATGACATTCGCTATCTAATCGAAATCTACAACATGACAGCATTCTCACTTCATATCTCAATGAAATACCTCGACTTTTGATGCAAATTTGTTTCGTGAGATGGTGGCGGCGGTTTCGGTCGACGGTGCCCCACTACAGCTCTCGTCGCAGTTGTCTCACCAGCAAATTTTGGCATCAACAGAAAGCCCAAGAGCCTTGTAACTAGCTTCGCAGCATCGCTGCTACCTACCTACCTAGGCAGCAATTGCTTACAGGCCCGTTTCGGAGACTTGAACAGCGCCAAAAAAGGGTACAGCCTGTTACTGCTTTCAGTGCTTTTGTCCGCTGAACCGCCGGTCAAGAGGGGCAACACCAGACTGCCCCGCTACAGCTCGCTAATATTAGCCCATCGACCCAGTATAATTAGCTGCCTGTTTTTGCTTCCTTATCTTTGCACCAAAAAAAAATTAGACCAGCAAATAGCTCGTTTTTCATGGGTTCGGTATGCTGTCTTCAGACAACTAGACCACTGGGCTGGGTGAGAAGAATAAGAAATAAGCGTCGCCGGGCCGAGCACCCATTCTTTTTGCATCACAATGAAAGAGTCCAACTCTGCTCATTATTTATTCAGTAAATTCAGTGTCATCGACGTAATATACACACACGCACACACATGTCCGCCGCCAGCCTCTGACGCGCCCTGACGTCAAGGCTACCTCCCGTCTTTGTTCTCGATAATCACTCCCAAAAGTATTCGTGTGTTGGTGGCTCGAGTCTGCGTCTGCCTCGCGCGTTTTCCCAGACCTTGGCTGCTGTCCACCCGTGACGCAGTAACGAAACCTTGGCAACTTGTGCCCAACAACCAGCCCCCTCGTCTTTGCGCCATTTCTTCACATCTCCTTCAAGTCGGTCCGTTCTGAATCCTGCAGAATCACGCTCGTTTCCTTATCTGCAACGCCACCATGGCATCCACACCACCGGTCTGCGGCGCCGGTCCTGCCGCCCTCTCTCCCTGCACCGGAGCATCGGCCCGCTAGCTAGCCTCATTCATCAGCACCACGCCCGCCGCCATACTTTACTAAATACTAACTAAATATTTCCCTCAACAATTTCTCAATAAATAGTTACTGCTCTCTTGCAAAACGGGTCCGCGTATTACTCGACATTACTATTCTCCTTCATTCTCCTTGTAACTCGGACCCCATGTCCCCCTAAAATCGTCGAGTCATGAGCCGCATGTTTCGGGCAATTGGGCTTTGATCGTCGCAATTGGAATCGCTAGCTGAAATCTGGCAACTGGGACCGAGATGCCTGATTCTGAGTCGTGCATGATGATATTACTCCTTGTCCAAGCAGGAGGGTACACGCACCACCACTCTACACTTTCACAGCAACGTCACATTACGAGGTAAAGATTTGGGTCCATGAAGCTCGGCAGTGCTCTTTTCAAAATCAAGACATTAACCATGATTCTATCGCTCAACGGCTCTGTTGCAGCTTGGAAAACAGCAGTCCTACTTGCTCACTTCCGTTCCCAAACAGTTCGCCGTGACCTACTAGCCGGATCCGTTGCATATCCGATCGGGTCTCTCCGTGCATGCACCGGGCCCATGTTAATTTTTAGTTGTCTGCTGTTCCACCGTCAAGTGTTCTGTGGTGTTCGGCCATAGGACATAGGTAACGATATAAACGTACAAAAGGCCTAATTCACGTCAATGAAGGTGTGGATCCACATCTTTACTGCGACACACGAGGCTGCTCGCCAATCTCTCCATCATAATCATCTCTCACACCTGCACAACACGTCACCACCTTAGTCTTGTCGCATCATCTCTTGTCTGCCGCCTTGCTCACTGCCATCATCACTGCCTCTGTCGCATGCTACAATCTCGTTGACCCATGTTTCTATTGGTGGTGGCAAAGGTTGCGGCAACTGCTAGCCAGGGATGTTGGATGAAAGTGGCATCTGCGACTTGACGCCTCTATATCAAGCACTGCAGAACGGACCGAAGAAGATGATTTGATGGGACTGTCAAACATTGCTGCATTGGGCTCAGCACGCGAGGTGGACTGCTCCTGCACTTTTGTTCTTCCAAGCAGGGTATCTACGGCCGAAGAAATTTGCAAACGACACAACGCAATGTCCTGCACACATGCACCAATGACTTGACGAAGCTGTCAGCGGGCCACAGAACGTTCTTGAATCATCGTCTCTGGTTTCACATTAAATTCAGACCAACTTTGCAAAGTCAACCAGCGACATTGTATCCCGTCACTGCGCAGGAAGCGAAGCCACAGAGGCACCTTCCCCAAGAGCAAGCCGAATCAGCATTTCTCGTCCCGGCAACCGAGTCAAAAATCATACAAGTGCTCTCATTCATCATGTTTCAGCCTTGCAGATCCCAGCCTCCGTTTACAGATAAAAAAAAATTCTAATTCCAGCCTCAATCTACCAATCAAAAATGGCAGGCAGCCCGATGACATGGCTCCAACTCGAAATTAAAGGGCCAAACCAGCCTCTTACAAGAGTTTTGATTCTTTCAAGGTGTTTGCTCTCTTCATCTCTGTACAGAGGGTCCGAAACCAATATAATCCCGCCTGGTGCCATGCGCTGCGCCACGCGCGCGACAGAGGCTGAGGTTGGCGGCGTCGACGGGCGGGCAGTCGGGAAACGTCCTGGGTAGGTGCCGTGTGAGGACGCCCCAGCCGCAGCCGAGATACAGAATGCGCTTCAGCGGCCGCGCTCGTACGAGGGGTTCTCCGGCACCTGACGAATCCAGCAGCAGCCCGAGCTCGAGCTGCCGGTTGATGCTGCGAAGCTGAGTCCGGGCTGCGGGCCGGCGGCGAGCTCTTTCTCGGAAAAGAGACTGCCGTTGAAATACAAGGTCTCGCCCAAGATTTTTTCCCCTATTTCGGGCGGATCGTCGTAGTTGGTTAACATGGCTTCTTGATACAGGTCGGAGTAGTCGGATTCCACGATGTGGATGGGCACAGATTAACGCCATGCTGCCGGTAATGTCTTTTCAGCATATGATCTGCAGTCACGGCGCCATCATGCACGACCTTTGCACCTACATGATCAACTGCACGTACGGCGTTTGTCTAGACTTCTTTGCCACATAAGCACACATAGACGTTTGTCATTCGTCATGAAGTATATCTATTGATTCGGTATATGCGACTACTCGTATGCCAGAGCCAAGGGACTGCGAACAGGGAGAGTCCTAAACTGATTTCCAGGCAGCGCATTCTCTGTAAAAGCGAGCTTCAGTCCTCTGCGGAACAACAGACATTGGCTCGAGCCGCCGTAGTGGAACATGCCAAGCTCCTCTCCCTTTTGAATCCTCTTTGGCCAGCCCGTCATAAACTTGGGGAGAATTTCGCACGAGGACACGTCGGCGAGGCCGATGCCAATAAAGCACATTAGACCGACGGGCTCATCGGCCTGTATAAAGACGACGGCGCGCGTCGCAACGTGGCTGAGGTATACTAGATTGAAAAGCGGCGCGGAGACGGGCTCGGTGCCGATGCCGTTGGTCGAGCGCTCCGAAAAGTAGGCACCGGCAATGACCTCGGCGTGCACGACGCTGCCCGACACGGGCGCGGTCCAGCGATGATACGACGTTGTCAGCAACACTGACTGGTGCACGGTGCCGCCTACAAACTTCTCGGCCCATTCGTGATGGTTGAGCATCTCTGAAACGGAGTAGTTTGTAGCCTTGAGCCAAAAACTGTCAACCTCCTTGACTTGCGACCTGATGGCCGACGGCTTGGACTCGCACGAATTTACAACCCACTCCGGCCGGTCTGGGTAGCCGACCGGGCGCAACTTGTCAAAGTCCCTGAAGCGACGGACGAAAAAGTCATCGAAAGACTTGAATCCCCAATGTACTGGGTCGCCTCGAGGGTCGCAGAGAAATAGCTCTTCAAACGTATACCGCTCGCTGCGGTCCAGGTTGGCGTCCTTTTCAATCGCAGCCACGGCCTCGGGAGACAGCCAGTTGCCTGGAGCAGTCGTGATGACGCTCTGGGACTTGCTCGTAGCGAGCAGCTCATCGCGCCAGACACCAAGTATCTCCTTGAAGCAGGCATTGACTTGCGCGTCCAGGAAGAAGGCGTGCCCGCTGGGGGTGCCCATTGCCCAGTCGAGGATGGCCTGAACGGGGACTCCCATGAGCTTGATGCTACCCTTGGTGGAAAGCGTCCAGGTTGGGGCCACTTGGGCAACAATGACGTTGAGCAGCTCAATCATGTGCTCGTACCCTCGGACGAGGCTCCGCGGCGGGCTCGCTTGGTTGACGGCGTTGTAAGGAGCCTTGTTTGGCACTTCCTCAAACATTGCTGCTGCCCACATGCGGAGCTGAGGCCTGCTCTCAATCAACTGTTTTAGTCGGTGCACGGAGGGAAGTAGCTTGGTAGTAGAGCTTTTGGATGTCCTTTCGTCGACGTCGCGGATAAAAGCCTGTAGCCATTGCGCCTCTTCGTCAGGCTGTGAACGCGACATGCTGCGTTGGCAGTCTGGCTGGAGACTTTCATGTCGCTGGCTTGTTGTTATAGTCATTAGAATAGAAATATAGAAACTGCGACTGTTTGATGGGGTTTCTTGCAATTCTCTCGAAATGGAGTGTTGCGAAAAAAAGAAATCAGATGGCGGTGCTATTTACCAAATGTTTTTCCACAGCTGAAGAGCAAAAGTCATACAGAGAAAAAACACTTGAGACGGAAGAGTAAGCTACATAGAGGGGTAATTTTTTGTTCTATTACCAGTAGATGTGCTGGCTGGCAGGGTGCCTGCCGCCTTTGGTCGGTGCATCTGCATCTGCAACATGCAGCATGCAGTCGCAGTAACACATCATCAGACAACTGGACATGCTGCAAGCAAGCCATCTACATTGCTCCTCTGTTTAAGCATCAATTTCTTCTATCGGTTGCTGCTGCAGCGGGCTGGGGGGGGCCGAATTCGAAAAGAGAGAAAGCTACATACATGGATGTCTATTCCGTTTCTCTTGCCGTCTCTTGCCCGCGTTTATCTGCTTTTCAGCCAGACCATCGGGTCTCGACTTCTCCGCCCCAAAGTACCGATTACTGTCTTTCCGTACGGAATGAGACAATGTCTGTCAGACAGCGCAGCAAAACCGGCTGCTGGACATGCCGTCTCCAAAAGGAAAAAAAAAAAGTTGCACCGAAGACGGCCCTCCTTGCACCAATTGTCGACAACTCGGTGTGCGGTGCCATAGATATGGGCCTCGTCCGGCATGGAAGGACAGAAGGCGACTTGGAGAAGGGAGGAAGCCAGGAAGCTCCGCTTACAAGTCGAGAAGCCAAGCAAAACGCATCAACATGTTCAGTCAGGAGCGAAATTTCGACAATTATTCCAACTCCTTGTGCCGATGACACCAGTCTAGCTAATCAGGACAGAGAGCCTAATGTCTTAGTCGCCATCGCAGCAAGCAGCTGACACTCACTTTTGGTCAATTGACGAAGCCGCAATCGAAGTATGGTATTACACGTTTCTCGTTTCCTTTTGACGATGAAATCGGGACCAAAGGAACTAGCTATGGTCCAACGCCTTACTCGCCGGTCTCCCCACCTCAATCATCAAGCTACCAGCCTGATGCCACACTTCTGGATCGAACATCGAACTTTCCATACTTTCGTCAGCCAGACTGTGCACCCAGTGAAGAATCAGCAAAGTTTGGTGTCAATATAGAGCCCTTCTTCGGCTCAAGACACGCTCCGCCGTCGCCTCTTCTCTCCGGTATGGAGTAGACTGCAGCCACATTCTTCACGGCGACCTTTGTTTGAAACGATATTCAATGCGCCGCAGCTGAGACACAAACACACAGCGTGGAGACCAGGGTGTGCAGCTTCCTCATACAAGAGACCTTTTGTTGAGACCTTTGGTTCCATCCTAAAAGAGATCACTGGCTGCGACCCCTGGATTCTGAGCAGCATAATGGACGTAACGGCGTTGGGAATCAGCAAGCGCAAACAATTATCCCACGGCGCTCTCAGCATGCGAGACCTCCTTCATAGAGCTTGCGAGATAGAAGCGGCTCTAGAGGCTGAAATAAAAAAGATAACGAGCCATGCTAACCTTTCATCCGAGTACTTACGCGACCCTGGCCAAAGTCGGTCCCTTCCAGATCACGCCCTACGATCCCGTGTTTTCGGGCATGCAGCATTAATATACCTCAACACAGTCTATTTTGGTGCGTTTAGCGGTGTAGCAAAAAATCATTACAACATCTCCCAGGTACCTCCCTCCCTCTTGGGAGGCGCTGTCAGCCGCAAAGACCTTTGTATACTTGGAATGGGCTTATAGTACCACTGCTAGCCTCGCTACGCCTTCACAGCGTTCAGTCTTTCAAGAAATCAAGGCAGACTTGTCGCTTCTGGATGCCGAAACAGGGTCTCTTCGAGAGCTTAGAAGCAGTGTCGAGCGGTGCTGGAAAAGGATTGACGGGCACACGCCAGACGATTCACCTATGCCGTGCGATTGGAGAAAAAATGCATAAAAGAGAGAAGTGCAATTTTATCTTTCTGTGACATTGTACTATTCAAGCTCGAGCATTCCTGTCAAACAGTATATATCAAGCACATCTAATATGCTGCCTTTTCACTGCGCCTCCCCACCATCCTGCTCATGTCACGTTCCTCGACAGGCACGGTTCCCAAAGTCAAAACTCGATCAACGGCGACTTCAAAGCCATGACGGCGGCCAACGGTAAGTGTTGAAATGTAACTCAGAGTATTGATTGCTTTTTTTCATCTGCAATATTTCCTGACAAACAGTCGCAAATCCCCTCTTCTTCTTGCATCATGTCAACTTGGATCGACAGTGGTGGACCTGGCAGCGGCAAAGTCCTGGCGATCGGCAACAACAAATACTTGGGGCAGCACATGTACATTTCTTCGGGAGCGGCACACTTGAATGACGAGCTTCTATTCGACGGCTTCACGGAAAAAACGTACCGGTCTTCCAGGTGATGGATACGACAAAGGGTTTGCCTTGCTACAATCTATTAGCCGACATCGGTACAAAGTTGGACCGCTGAGTAGGGCGCTTATCAAAAGCCTCGAATGGCAGCCCAGTCCATCTTCTGAGCGTCTGCGACAATTCAAAGCCCTGCGCGATAATTTTTATTTAATCGAAGAGTAGAGAAATATTCCATGTGACGTCCTCGCGATGGCAGACCTCAAAATGACGGAGCGCCCACCGTGGCCGGAGCGGTAGCCATTCTGCCGGATGGCTGCAAAAGTCATCATCCGCACACTCGACGCACATGATTGTAACTATATGCCTCATGGCGCACATCAGGTGTCGAGTTTCAGTTCTGCAGCCTGTACACGTGTCTGTGGCAGGTCGCGCTGCATCACGCGCTGCTGCTGCGGACTCGCAACTGAGCGTGTAGCCATGATATTAGCATATCAGATATCTCGGCTCTAATTTGCCTGTGTGGACCGAGTATGTCAATATGCATAGGTTGTTGATGCTTTCTTCTCCAGGGGCCTGCTTTCCTCTACTCAATTTCCTGAGTAGAAATGGCCGCATATGAGGAGCGTTCTGATCGTCATGGCTCCGGCTCAGCCACTCAAGATGAGCAGAGCCTCCTCATCTCACCAGCCCCTCGGGGCTCTAAAAGCACCCAGTCACATTACATCATTTTCAAATGCTTCTTTCTCAGCATCTGCATGGAGATTAGCAATGTTCTCATCACGATTCCACTCAATCAAATCTTGGAAAGCATCATCTGTCGACAACTAGTCTCCGACCACGCAAGCGGCATAGATCCCCGCTGCAAGAATGAAAACGTCCAACGAGAGCTGTCGTTTATTCGCGGCTGGCAGCTTACGTTTGATCTTATCCCTGGGCTCCTCACTGCAATGATGTACGGTCTGGCTGCGAAGAAATATGGGAGGCAGTTCATTCTGGCACTGGCTGTACTGGGTGCCACCCTAGCCGCCACCTTTGTCCTAGTCGTCTGTATGTCGCATCTGTATTTACTCATATAAATACTTGCGGAATCAGTGGCTGCAATTACTGACTAGCACTGCAGGTTCTTTTCCGGCCGTCTTCTCGCCGCGTCTAGTCTGGCTATCGTCTACCTTTACATTCATCGGAGGTGGTGTGCCCGTCTTCAATGCCATGATCTTTGCTCTTCTAAGTGATGCTGTTCACGAAAGCAAGAGGTATTTGACGCAAAAAGTCCGTGGCGGCCATTACAATTGCGCTAAACGCTAAATAGATCAACCACGTTCTTCTACGTCAACGCTACACCTATCGGCAGCCAAGTCGTCGGTAGCTTGATGGCGTCTGCGCTCATACGAATGAGCGTTTGGGTGTCTGCTTATTGCGGCGCTCTACTGGCCATGACTGCCACCTTGACTGCATTCTTCTTCTCGGTAGATGTTTCCAAAGGTAAACCAGACACGGCGATTACTGGGGACGAGGAAGAGCCACAAACACTTGGTGGGCGGCTCCAACAAATCTCAAACGCTGCCATGTGGTTTACACGACAGAATTTCTTGTCCATCTCGCTTCTATCTACCTTGCTAGTGTCTACTCTAGGTCGCTCCGCGCCCGACATCCTTCTACAATATGTCACTAAACGATACGGATGGACATGGGCGGACGTGAGTCTCATCTTTCTTTTCTCGCTACCCGTATTCTTCTCGTCACGGGCATTTCTGGTAGCACAAAGCAGAATTCTAACTTGGCAATTCAGTCTTCGTTATTGCTATCCATACACTGGCTCATAACCCTTATTCTTCTCACGGCTGTTCTCCCAGCCGTCACGCAGTTTCTCGTTCAAGCACGAGGCATGCCTTCGCAGACAACAGATCTACTTCTCGCACGCTTCAGCATCGTTGCCTCCTCAATTGGGGCCTTTGTCATTGGAGCCTCGAGCAAGGTTCCCTTGATGACTATCGGTCTTGGCCTGTTCACCTTGAGCTACGCGTACCCAATGCTGGCGCGAAGCCTGCTAGCATCAGTGGTTGACAAGCGCCACACCGACGTCATGTACACCACCATTAGCATATTCGAGGCTTTGGGTTCAATTATTGCTGGTCCGCTTCTATCTGCGTCGTTTCGCCAAGGTTTGGTTTGGGGGACAGAGTGGCTGGGTCTGCCATTCTTGCTTGCTGGAGCGTTTTTTGGATCTGCCGTCATCGTTCTCAGCTGCGTACGACTCGTCAGTAATTTCGAAACGAATGTTTAGGCCTAAAAAGGGTAGAAATACGAACTGCGCACACTTTTGATATAGGTCACGGTGATCAATCATTGTTTCCATCACCATCACCGTCTGTACCGAGGGCGACACCATAGACACTGACGGCTTTTTCCCGGAGGAAAGCGTTTTGTTCTTTTGCATTTTTATCCACATCCAGAAACATGAAAATACCCGCTGCACTGACAAGATCCAGAGCAAACAAAAAGTACAATGGCGCTCTGTGGCTCTTTGAACCTCCACCTGGCGATGCGTCAATGACGGCGCTGCTGATCGAGGGCCCCGTCAGACTGGATGCTTGCCGAATAACACTAAATACTGAAAAGAAGAGATACTCGTATCCTCTCGGGGTGACGGAGCTGGTCATAATTTGCGCATAGCTGTCACAAGGACAGACAATTAGGCCATAAATCACTTGATATGCCCAAATTTCAGGTATGTTCTGGAACCTGCCGAACCTTGTAGTCCAGTTGCCAATTATGCCCCAGGCAGTCCAGCAAAATGACAGCCAGCGTGATTACAGAGAACATGGTTTTTGGCCGTAGATGGTATCGCTTTTGGACCGGCCAAAATGCGCTGATTCCAACCATTATACTACTTACAGCCTATATGGTATTTGCTTGAAGATGTCTCAGGCTGCTTTCTATGTATTCCAAGCCGCGACACCACCTCGACCGTACCATGAAGAACATATCTCAATGCATCCCGGTGCATTTCACACAAATCATCAATCGGTGAGATGGCCGAGTTGGTTATGGCGCCAGGTTAAGGTCACCTTAGCATCATTCCTGGTGGAGCAATCCTCATGGGTTCGAATCCCATTCTCATCAGACAATTTGTTTCTTTTCTTTTTTTTTTTTGCCCTTCTGCTCAGTTGAGCGCACTTTTTTTTCCATCGCCTACCCGTCACCGAAGGATTTCCAGTACGAGGACTTGACCACACCATTCTTCTATGGTGGATTGTAACGTCCTAGCGATAGGATAACGATACTGTAAAAATACTTGGTTTACTGTAACATCGAAAATGCCGCTTGGGCAGGATCGATGCTCGTCTTCATTATACTGGTCAAATCAAAATTTCTTTCCAGCAAATAATCGCGCGACTTCGTATTAGTCGCTCGCTTAACATCACCAATTGGCTCATCGGTACTGACTAACAAGACAAAGGGTGAGGTAACGTTAGCTCGAGGAAGAATTCCAGTCGATTTGCTGGGTCTTGAATTGGTAAAAACGTCTTCCCTAGAGCAGGCCAGTATCACCTAATTTATACCAGAGGCATCTAGTTACCTAGTTATCACTGGTGTAACGGTGCAATCCAAGTGCCTAATTCAGAAATGCATACTAGTCTGACTAGGCTTTTCATCGACCGAACAATTCACAGAAGATTGGGAAAGTGACAAAGACTAGAAGCATAATTTAACTAGATTTAGATTTTTCTAGAAATTGAATGTTGTATTCACAAATTTCCTTTTCTTTTTCTCTTTCTACACATCCCACCACTGGCCTGTTATGCTATGCCACATCACTAGCCACACCCAGCCGCAGCACGTGAGCCAAGTCCCTGCGTCCGAGGCCCCCAAGCCAAAAGCAGAGCTCGGCTACCCACTTTCGGCGCCGTCACCCGCTGGCCACTCCGCCTGACGAGTTGTTGCCCACGCAACCACCACCATCGTCACCTTCATCAGCCCATCTCCAAGACCTCGACCAGAACCAGAACCTACGAGCCCTACGAGCCCACCAGACGGCGAACACCTACCCTCACATTACGAATTTTTCTCAGTCGCAAATATGGTTGTAAGTTGTTCAGACTCCCTCTACCCCCTCTGTGTGGCAGCTAGCTGCTGCTCGCCGAACGTTGCGATTGAAACCGGAGCAAAGGATTCGGCGGGCACCTTTCTACATGCACCGTTTTCTTCCCTTCTCCTGTTCAAGACAAACCCTTTCCCCTTTTCTTTTGAATGGCATGTTTACGCAACCAATCTCTTGGTTTTGGGCATTTGTCTAAGACGATCTTCCTTCTCTTGCAGCTCCTTAACCTACTGACGTTCGGATTATGGTCAAAGGTCGGAAGATTGACGCACTATGCCTTTGACGCTGTCATCAGTACGTACACCCTCCCCTTTACCCCTTGGTCTCTTTTCTTTCCCAGCCACGCGCACGTGGAAACTCTAACCCGTTACCCTTTGCTTATAGTTTCTGCGTTTCTCGCGGGTATGAAGCGATCGACCGGTTTGACGTGAGTGAAATACGAACCGAACCTCTTCCTCCCTTCGGTAGATGGAACAACGTTATTACTTTAGAAGAACAAGGCAAAAAACAATAATTTGGACAACGAAAGCTAACCAGGCAAGCATCAACAGCTTCAAGACGGAAAAGGTCGCCGGCGACAACAAGGAGGCCAACAAGTGGATCAACAAGTATCTCGGCCTCGGCGAATGGGTCATGGACCAGTCCGTGGCCATTGCCGGCTCGAGCAGCTTCTTTGAGCGCACGCGATAGACGGGGGTGTTGGAGAACGAAAGACGCACGGGGGGGAATGATTGTTGCAAACTGCCAGGCTTCACGGATCGAAAACCCTTCGCTACTCAGATTCATTCAAGGCCGCCGCTGCCGCTGCCGCCGCCCCAAACAATCGGCGCCTCTGTCCCTGCCTGGGCGTCGACCTATGGGAATAGCGGGAACATGACAGTGGGTGTCGACGGCCGTGTGCCATTATATTGTCATTTTCGGCGTTTTGGGAAATTTGGTTTACCTCATGTACGCACGGCTTAGGACTATTTATTACGAGATATGGAGTTTCATCGTGTTTATTTGCCTGCTTCCCATGTTCATGAGCCTTGCGTAGGAAAGCGAACGATTTATTTACGCCTAGCGATGATCGCCTGCTCATCATCAACGGGTAAGTTAAAGAACACTGGACAAATACTACTCGCATAAAAAATCAAGTACAGAATGGATCGCTGTTGGTATAAAATCTGGTACATTGGCATCTGGTATCCTAATGCTCCTTTCCTAGCTCCGCCAAAAATTCGGGCGGCACATCATTTTCACTGTCAATTCGTTTAGAATCTGTCGTGGCTTCGCTCCCATCAATGACTCCAGTCTTTTCCTCTTTGGATGATGCATCATCAGTTGATCCAAGTAAATCTGGTGGGACTTCATTGTCGCTCTCATCCACAATTTGACGTGCAGGCTGCGGCTCTTGGCCTTGTTCGCTCTGCATCGTGTTTGGTTCCGATGGAGCGTCCCCCTCGAAGAAGGTCTTTAGCATATTCTGAGCTTCACGAAACGCCTCCAGCTCTGCTCCCACGGCACACACCAGCAAGTTCCAGCCTTCGGATTCGGCCTTGTTCAAACATCGTTCCAACTGTGTGACAACCTCGTCCATCTTTGCCAACTGTTCTTGGATGAGGCTCTCTTGCGAAGGCACTTTTTCTTTGCCCTTTGTGGATGGCGGGGCTTGTGGCGCCCCCGTCTTCATAAGGTGCCGCAAACTTGATTCGAAGCTCGTCACGAGTGTCGTCACCTCACGCCACGCGATACTGCCGTCCTCCAATGCCCGCCTTTCTTTGCTGATCTGTTTTCTGCGCCTATCGAGTAAAGCTACCTCCTTCTCCCACCAGGATTTGGCCATGGCGGGCGTTCGCCGTTCGGGAATGAGTCGCATGAATTCCATGCCGCCGGGACTTCCGCCAGTGTCACTGACAGAGTCCGGCAAAGAGAAAACTTCTAGGTCGAGCGGCTGGATGGGCGGATGCATCATTATTGATTGCAGCTCAGCATCGATATCTTTGAGTGCACCACGATAACCACTAAGGCCAGCATCACGTCGGTTTTGCGCATCTTCAATCCTTTCTCTGACAAATTTGCGCTGATTTCGCATTGCCATGAGCTTCTCTTCTAGCTGTCTGATTTCCTGTGTTAGAGATTCGTATTTTGACCCTAAATCTCGAATCTCCTTGCTCAACGGTTCTTCGTCATCTTCTTCAAGGTCATGGAGCTCACTGCTGATGCCAGTTCGCTTCACCGATAAACGCGACAGAAGAATGAGAGCATTTTTGCGCTCCGATAGTGCTGCATCGACATGTGCGTCCTCTTCTCGCTTAAGTTCCACCAGGGCTGCCATGGCTTTGCGCAAGCCGGCTCTGGCCGATCTGAGACCCAGGGGCTTACCACCGGTTGGTTGCCGTACTGGTATGACGTTGCCGTCTTTATTCGAGCGGGCCGGCATATGCAGAGAATTGAGCATTCTTGACTTTGACGCCGCCGTTGAGTTGAGGGCTCCGGTAGGCGTGCTGCTACCTGTACCACTAAAGTCCTCTTCATCATCGGGCAATCTGCCGCTGCCGGCTACTAGCCCCGTAGCTTGGAGATCCAACAACTGCTGTATATCTTGCTCGATGGCGCGTTCCCTCCGATTAAAGGCACGCCATGCGGAATCTGGGCGTATTCGGCTCTGCTGCCGAGATGGCTGGAATAGCAGGCTGCCTAATTGGGCAGTGCTGGCGGCGACTATGCCTCGAGATCGGCCAGCGTCGGAGCTCCCCCGTGATTGATTGCTTTCCAAGACCGAACCAGCAATCGGGGGAGGTGGTCCGTGGAACATGGCTCGCCTTTTGGGTGCGGAAGGTGAGCCAGGCGAGCTAGATGCATAGTTACTCCAGCCATCAGTGGAATCGTCTCGGAAAGCCGGCCCAAGATGCCGGCGCTCATCGTAGCTATATTCTCGCGACATCTCGGGATATTCTGGCTTTGGCTCAAGCTCTTGGAGTTGGTATTCTGTCGAGGATCGTGCTCGCGGGCTGCGAAAAGCGGCTAGTATCGGGGACCGTATTGTAGGGTTGCTTCTGCGATTCGGGGCGGACGAGTTGGGCATGTCGGCTGCTTGTCGGTCGGACGTGCTGTAAGCGAAGCAGGCACGATGGCGGGAATTATGGCATTATGGCATCAGGAAGTAGTAAACGACACAAGAGACAAAACACGGACTGAATTTGACACAATGTCAGGTCGTGGCAGATGGACGAAAGTGCTCACGAGGCCAGCTGTGCAAGTGGAGAGTCTCAAGGGAGCATGTGCCGCGAGCCAGAGGTGCCTGCTTGCCTGCCGAGCTACGTGGTGAGGCTACAGCTTCGCTACAGGTAGGGGGACATCAGATGGGAGGTGTCGATCAAGCATGCGGGTTGGATTACTTTTCAATAAATCTCCAGTCTGCCGCAGGTCTCCTGTGGTAATCATTGGTTGATTGAAATATTTTGAAATTATTACCTCGTGTCAAACAAGATATCAGGTGCTTCCTATCATGGCAACTGAGGAAGTGTCGAGCGGGTGGTGGGGCGGTCAACAGTACATACCAACGGATACAGGTAATGGCTGCAATGAGTGATGAGTTGGTACCTAAATAGTACCTTAGGTAACAACGCGTACCAAGTACCTACTTGCGGGGCGTTGTTTGCAGCAAAAGAAACATCCTGCTATACTTTTGCAGGTAGGTCAGAAGCGCGAAAAGGAAAAAAAAAAAAGAACAAAACCTTGCCCACAAGAGCCCAGCAGCTTGACCGATCATTATTTACCACGGTCTAGTTAGACTGCTGCTTGGCACTGATTAACAGGTTCCTGATTATACCCAAGGGAAGGCGTGGTGATTTGTTCAGGTTCATTCGAGGCCCACAGTAGCACTGCGCGTCGATACCAAGACGATCAGATACAAGTACAGAATACCAGTTGGCTGGGTAGAAAACAAGGAGAAGCAGCACGAGACAAGGCCAGAACCAGCTTGCGCTTTTTGCCCAAGGCGGACCCCGTCCCTCAAGTTTCAAACTGCCAACAGAGTTGGCGCCCGCATCGTCGTCATTACTTTCTTGGATCATTATTCAAGCGAGCAAAGCCACTGGCCAACCCTACCAAGTTCCAGCATTCGCCGCGCTTGGGCTGGCCAAGTTGTGAGGCTGCACGAGTCTCAAGATTTACTATCCGTACTTCTTGTCTCGCTCTGCCGCAAGACAAAGGCTCTGCCCGGTTAAGCAGTGCTGAGCCCCTACCTACAGCCCACAGGCGCCATCGTCTCACCACATCGACGACTGCAGAGGTACTGACTGCAGTCCCTCCGCCCGCCAAATGAGCCAATCACAGCAGGTGCCCTCAGCGCGACCACCACCCGTCATGGGGCGCTACGACAATTCCCACGACGAGCTGCACATGGCTGCCGGCACGCAAATGCCCCTTCACGAGTATCCTCCCCAGATCAAGTTTGACCACGCACAGCCGCCATTGCCAGCGCCTTCCCAGCGTCTCTCTTCTGCGACCGCCTCCGCCAGCGCCAGATCCTCGGCCGTTCCCAACGTCCTGCAACCCGGTGGCATGGCATCGCGGCCGCATCCAATGTCTTCCAACGCCACCCCCCAGCTGCCCGGCCTTCACGGCTCGATGCCGCCTCAGCATGGCCTCCAGCAGCAGTCACACTCTCAGCAACAGTCCCCGATGCAGGAATACTCTCCCGCCGGCAAGCCTCCCTTGAGCCTCTCTCACAGCTACTCGCGCTCCAGCCCCGCAGCCGGCTACGATGCGGCTTCCTCGTCGTCTTACCATGCCTATACTCCTACCACGCCAGGCGGCTCATCGGCGCAGTTTGTCTCTACCCCGGATGCCAACAAGTACGGCCCTCCCGGCTCCCAGCGCAACATCGCAAACACCCCATTGGGTCTGGCCGACATTCGTCCCCGCGCCGACTCGAGCATGTCCGACGGCTCTCCCAGCGGCATGGGCTACGACGTCGTAAATGCCCAGCCAGGGCCTAGCAATTATCTCGCACCTTGGGCCGTGTACGCCTTTGATTGGTGCAAATGGAGACCACAGGGCAACAGCGCTGGCAAGATTGCTGTTGGCAGCTATCTCGAAGATGGACACAACTTTGTACGTATCTATTCCGCCTCGCGCCGGCGCCGACTAACTAGCCCAGATTCAAATTCTCGACTCTCACATTGTTCCGACGCCTCAAGAAGTGTACACACCCGGCGCCTCCAAATACAACCTCGAATTCACAAAACTTGCCGAAGCTACACACTCGTACCCCGTAACTCGTCTATTATGGGAGCCGCCGTCCTCGCAGAAGCAGTCTACAGATCTCTTGGCCACTTCGGGCGATCATCTTCGACTATGGTCGCTGCCATCCGACACGCCATCCAACCCCGGCAACACCATTACACGTAGTGGTCCCCGTGACCCTGCCGCCGCCAAACTGACACCTCTTGCGCTCTTGTCAAACTCAAAGACGCCCGATCACACAGCTCCTCTGACGTCTCTCGACTGGAACACCGTTTCTCCCAGCCTCATCATCACCTCCAGCATTGACACTACCTGTACAATCTGGGACATTCCTTCGCTGACTGCCAAGACGCAACTGATTGCACACGACAAGGAAGTCTACGATGTGAGATTCTGCGCCAACAGCGTCGACGTTTTCGTGAGCTGTGGCCAGGACGGCAGCGTGCGCATGTTTGATCTCCGCAGCCTAGAACACTCCACCATCATTTACGAGCCTACCGGAAAGGATGACCGACGTAAGATGCCTTCCATCCGCTGCCATTGAATCGCCGCGCTAACACCATTTAGTTGATGGCTCAGGACGCAACAGTCCTACACAAGCTCAGCAAACCATGGCTAATCCTCCTCCTCTGCTGCGTCTCGCCACCTCTCCACACGATACCCATCTCCTGGCTACATTTGCCCAGGACTCTAACATTATTCGCGTTCTCGACGTACGGCAGCCCGGTCAGGCTCTTCTCGAGCTGCATGGCCACAGCGGGTCAATCAACTGCCTAGAGTGGTCCCCTCTTCGACGTGGCACATTGGCTTCTGGTGGTGACGACTGTCAGGTTCTGATCTGGGACCTCATCAACTCGGGCTCTTCTATTCCCGCAAACGGATCGCAGGAGAACACGCGGAGCCCTGTTGCTAGCTGGGAATGCGATTATGAAGTGGGCAACCTGGGCTGGACACCACATCTGCAAGGTCACGACTATGGCGAATGGCTGGGTGTCAGTGCAGGACGAGGTATCTGGGGTGCACGGCTCAATTAACACCCTCTTCGCCCGAGCGCAAGGCTCGGGTATGCACCAGCCGCTTAAAACCAATGACACAGAGTGGCCTTTTTAGACCTATTCTTTGGAAGGAATTTCGTGTTATGGAAATGTTTGTCATGTCCTTTCCTTTGTTCGGCATCTGACAAGCTGGCTCGCGAGATTGTGTGGTGCGTTGATCATGGCGGCAAGCTGCACAATGATGGAGAGCTGGGTAATCGAATCTTCATACCCTGGTGCTCATGGGGAACATATATAGGGAGTTGTAGGTCATTGAATTTCAATACATTCGACACATCCACAGCCCACGCTCATGTCGTCAGAAAAGCAATCCTTACAAGCGGTGAACGCTGCCACCTATCGCTGGCCGTACTACGGCTTTGCCAAATATTTTGCGCTCCGATATATCCCTCAACGCTCTAGGCACACTTTCCAAGCCCTCATACATGACTGACAGGGTAGGTTTGACGCTCAAGTACTCGAGCATCGGGTACAGCTGCTCCCAAATCTCCTCTCTACGGGCAGGGTTTTCTCTTAGAGACTGCCCAAAACGCTAAACACACATTAGCAAAAAAGGTTGTGCCGTGAAAGGTAAGGCGACATACATATCCAATCAGTTCCACCTGCTTCAAAAGAATGCGATTCATGGCAATCTTTTCAAAGTTGCCATCCAAGCCTGCGAAGCCCACCACGACGATGCGTCCTTTGGAGGCCATGCACCTGAGGCTGGGCTCGACCAGGCCGACTGGGTCAAACACGACGTCCACGCCTCTGCCCCCCGTCATGGCATTGACCTTCTCCCACCATTTTTTATCCGCGGTATAGTTGACGCACTCGCTTGCGCCATAGCCCTTTGCATACTTGCACTTGTCGTCGGAGCCGGCGGTACCGATGACGCGGCAGCCACGCGAGGCCGCGATCTGGCATGCCATGACACCGAGGCCGCCCGCGGCGGCGTGCACGAGGACCGTCTCGCCCGCGCGCAGGCGGCCGGCCGAGACGAGGCCGTCGTAGGCCACGGGCAGCGTTGCGGCGAGCCCGGCGGCGGCCTCGACGGGCC